ATTTAAAAAGAGTTTTGACTAGTTTAAAGAAAAGTATTGAGAGATTTGAATGCTTGAAGAGAAAGATGATTTTTCAGCTGAGGATATGAGACTGATTAATGTCTCTATTTTTTTAATAATAAAAGTATTACATTTCAAATTTAAATAAGAGAGTAAACATGTAAAATTGAAAGTATACATTAAGAAATAAAACTAAAAATGCAAGAAAAGCTTGAATAATTACAGTAATATTTAAAGAACTTTAGGTATAAAGTTGAAAATAATATATACATTATTTGTTTGAGGAAAATGGTTAAAGATCCACTGATCTAGGCAGCCAGCATAAGGACTATTTAGATGGCTTGAATTTCAGTTTGGAAGGGGGATTTTTGTGATCCACAGACTAACATTTTTAACTCAAGGGAAAGCCCAGAAAGAATAGATTTTAGAACAGGGCATTTGGTATCAACATTCAATAAAATAAAAACCTTGTCAGTGTTTATGTCTGAAGTTGCTGGGCTTCTGGGTCACTACAGGCTCCCATTTAGGGCTAGCTGGTGATCTACAATGAAATCCGTATTTTAGTAGGGATAGAAGTAATCCACTCTATGTGCTAATGCTGTAAGATATCTTTCTATAGGCAGTTGATTTCAATCTGTAACCAAAGTGTGTTTTCTGTATCTGTTTTGAGAAGCAGCCATCCACAGGATTCAGGCATAAAAAATCAGTCCACATTATCAGCAAACAGAGAAAAAGACATTTCCTCTGCAGCCAAAGCTGAGACATGACAGTAAAAGTATTCTTTTGAACAAAGGATTACTCAGGTGTTTTGAGAAGTGAAGCAAAAATAGCTAATTTCTTTTCATTCTTCTTCAAACACAGAAATTCATTTGTAAGTTCAGTAATAATTTCTGTACTGCTGGTTACTATTTTTTTCCTAATTTACTTGGCTCTAAATATCCTCTGAATAAATATCTTCTTTGTATTCTTATTTGCTCCTGAAACATACAGCTATCTTCTGCATAATGATAAAAACTTATTACTATAAATGTTGCATTTTTTTTTTCTCAAAGCTGGAGATTGCATTCTTTTACTCGGAAAACTCTTCTCTATAGAGACTTGTAATGCATCTATGCAGAATTCACTGCCTTACGTTCTTCAGTGATTCATTAGTTGCTTCTGTTGAAACATATTTCAGATTGCAAGTGTTTCATAATACGTAATCTGTTGTAATTGAGATGAGATATTGTAGAACTGAATTTTAAACATTATTATCTTACTTAATATTTTAGTGTTGCAAAAACAATAGGTGAGAATTTTATGATTAAATGGTCTTGACAATACATGTTTCTATTCATAAAGTCAGACTCGGTAGGCTGCTTGTATTCCCTAGGTTCAACATACACTAGAAAGTATATGGGTAGAAAACTATTTAGAAATTATAGTCCATATTCCTTGAATTTCTTAAATGTAATGCATGCTTAACTTTGGACACTAGAAAGAAAAAAAAACCTACCCAAAAAGCCAACCTGTCTTTCACTGATTTTTATTTATTCTTATAATATAAATGGTGTTTTGTAAACCTTTCTGGCATTAAAAAAAATCAATATAAAAATACTGTATAGCTTTTATCAAAAAGGACATAAGAGCATCCTAAAGGGCAGATGTAGATGCTGATGTACTCCCACACAGAACTGCTGGTGACAGACAACTTTGAGGGCCAAGGTTTATTGCTCAGGACAGCAAAATAAATGCTTTAAATTGTTTGAGACCTATGTATAACCAATATAAAGTCATAACCAGAATGGCTAATGCTGCTCATTCCACTATCTTTGGTAAGATTAATGACAGCAAAGATGAAATATTAATAAAGACTCTATTCTAGTGTTTCCCAAAATGAATGGTCATTATAGTTGGAAAGAGATATTTTAGAATCCAGTAAAAATTTGCTTTTTAAATACAAAATATGTTATAACCCTTTGTGACAATTGCTGTTGGAGAATGCATATGTAGCCAGAAAAAAAGACACTGAAGTTTTTCAATCCATTTATCACTATTTTTTTTAAAGACTTTCCTGTTGACAGAAACAACAGACTGAAGTTTATAACATTTATCTAAGCAGGCTAAGATCCAAGCCACAAGAATTGATAGATTTGGTAAATAATTTTTCCAAGAGGTCATAAAATCACAGAATGGTTTGAATTGGAAGGAAACTTTGAAGGACATCTAGTCAACCATTATGAATAAACGTAAATTGAAGAGGAGCAAAGAGATAATTTTTATTCCTCTTAAAGTTTTCTAGAGTTTAGTTCACAGGTGTGATACTAGGAATTAATTTTATGGAAAGGATCACTGAGAGTACTCAAAAGATGTTGGCAAGTTTACTTCACGTAATGCATTATTTATATAGCAGACAGAAGAAGAGCAAAGTGTCATGTTAAATAAAACCTGAAAATACAAAATGAAAGAACTGGGGTAAGTAAAAAAGAAAGAAAACAAAGAGAGACAAATGGTTTCATGCAAACAGTGCATCTATTTAAACCAAGATTGTGATGAGCCTACAAACAAATAGAGGAACTTCAAACGATTGAGGGAATGATAAGGAGAGTGGACGGTAAGACAAGACTAAACCAGAACACTTACAAACATAGTGGCAGCAGTAGAAAAAAAAAGCAAGGCACTAAATTAATATTTCAAAACCTAAAAACCATCAGATTTTCCTACCCACACAGCCAGGCTGGATTAAAATGCAACTAAGGTGTAGAATTGTTCAGCAAAAATTCAATAGAATAAAGATCCTAAAATACTAAAGATATGTCAGAAACTCAGGTAAGGGAAATAGGCTCATTCATTGAACTGTAAAGACTGTAATTTTACAAGTTGTCAAAAGATAAGTCTATTGAATCAAAGTTATAGATCTAGGTGTTTCATAAGAATCGTGCTGATGACCAAGGAAGCACCTGGTAAAAAAAAATCTGCAAAACTTGGTACCTTTTTACAGGACAGGAAAAAAATTTCCCTTTCAAAATTATGCTCTGCTGGGCACTTTAGAAATATATCCATTAAATGCAGTTATTTCCTACCTTTATTTTGAAGCTCCTAAATTAGATTGATACATTTTTAATTTAACTGACCCACGGTAATATGAAAGCCCTATTTTTCAGAGGACAGGCAATTTGAACACCTTAGAGACTACTAATTACAGACAGAAAGCTCATCAAAGATTGAATGGGTAGTAAATAGGAGCAAAGGGCTTCTGAGGATGGCTGCCTCTTTGGTTCTAGTACTTCACACCACTCTGGCTATCTATCCTTCCTGTGTTCTGATTGTAATAAAGCAAACAGGGGAGTGGGAAGATAAAAATGCTGTAAGTTTTCCTTAATAGTTTTCTAATTGAGGTAATAATCTGAAAACTGAGCTTGTTACTGTTTGAAGATAAATGTTTTAAGGAACACAGAAACTTTAGTGGTTTTGCAGGCCTAGTGTTCTTTTTTTTTTCTATCTGGTAAAACTGCTGGAACCTTAGAACAAATATGACATGCCCTGTTTATATAATTAAGTCTGTAAAATGTCAGTTTACAAAAAGGGATTTTTCATAAAATTTACATGGTGTTTATTATATAAAAAAGGAAAAAGTTATCTCCTTATCTCAGGAAGTGCAAGACCCATAGCATGGAATAGTAACATACCAGGATCAAAAATTAAGCACAGCCTATGAGCTAACCATGAAATAGCCTGGAAATAAAAGCATAACTATGTAGACAAAACAAAAATGCATCTGAGCTCAGACTGTTAACAAATTTTAAAACAGGACTAGGCCAACTCATATAATTAGATAGTTCACTAAATATCTGGATTGATCAATACTTGGCTTCACACCATCTCACAATATTCAAGATTGCCTACATCAGCTCTTTTCATTCCCTCTTAGTTCCAAGGTGAGCTGTATTCCTCTCACTCCTTTCCTGGCTCCCCTTAGCCGCCAGCAGGACGTTCTGTGCCCCATAAGGTGATGGGTGGCTTCGTGGTGGAGCACGCTTGGACTGACCAGACAGATTATAATGCTCAGCCTTTCCCAAACCCCACTAACACTGGAGCTGGACCTCACCCAAGAGAACCAGAAGCTGTCTAGCACAGAAAACCCTGTGTGTTAAAAATCTCCGAACAGCAGCAGGGTAACAGAATACAGGCTGAGAGCAGTGCTGCTCTGTGCTGATAGCAGTAGTGTCAGTACTGCTTAAAGGTGGCACAGCTGCCTCCTTTGGATTGGATACTGGGAAAAATGCCTTCCTGAAAGAGTCCAGCAATGGAACAGGCTGCCAAGGGAAGGGCTGGAGCCACCACTCCTGCAGGTATACAGAAGACATGCAGCTGTGGGACTCAGGGGAAAGGTTTACTAATGGACTTTGCAGTTCTACCAGTTGGACTTGATCCAAACGAAAAATGTCAATGATTCTATAATCTTAAATATATTAAGATTTTTGATGACTACAATTCTCTATTGTAGTCATCAAAAGCATATGATTATTTTTTATCTGGTATTATCTTTTCTCTTAGAAGGGGAGACATATTCTTTGGCACAACACCTTTTCTCTCCAGTAGGCTCCACTCCAATACTTAGGGAAACAGATTATCTGCTATCCCCTGTCCTGCCTTAAACATTCATGTTTCAGACCTCTGGCAGTGCTCCATCACAAAATTTTACAGGATATATCAACCACATATGTCTGTCAAAAAAAATTAAATTAACATTTCTTGACATTTATTAAAAGCACTACCTTTATGCTATTTGTATCATTGTATAAAAACAATAAGGACATTCACACAATGACTTTTTTCCTGCATTAGAAATTTTTGAGATTAGATATGCACTATGCATAATATTTATTTTGTGTCTCTTAGAAAAATATATACTTAAGTTCCACTTATTTTTCATCAGAAAAGTATTGTGAAATTCATAATAAATTATAAATAAGAAATATTTCTACTGAACTTGGACAAGTAAATTTAAACATTAGTACCTGAAACAACACCAATTCCATCATCACAGTCATAATCAGAGACTTCACTATCACTGATTCTTTTGGATCCTGGAAAAAGAAAAGACATGTATCATTTTCCTTCCTGTAAGTTAAAACTATCCTCTGTTAATAATACTTAAATTAATGTATGGATTTCATACTATACCATGATGCATTAACATCAACATAAAAAGGTAATTATTCATGTTATAATGTTGAACATATATGACTGCATCGATTATTTCAGATAAATCTTTAAAGTAATAAAAAATGAAATGCTAAAATACATCTCCACCACATTGCTTTTATGAAATATTTTATATAGTTTATATTCATTCAATATATACAGATATTTGTATTCATTCTGTACAGAAACTGACATCACACTGTTCATCTTCCAAGTTTTCATATACAAGGCACCATCTCTCCCCAAAGTCTCTAAATAACAGAAAGATTATGAATAGCAATAATATTAAATGCACATAGTACTTTCTTGAAGTTCTTAATAAGGATTATTAGAACAAAAGGCAGCTTCACACATATAGTGTGCCATGGAACACAAGAAAACTATTAAATGTATACCTGCCAAAATATCTAGAGCTGAATTGGCAAAAGCACTGAGTTGGCAAAAGATTCCACTTCCATGACTAGAGCCCAAATGTTGGTCATACAGGAAAAATAAATATGTCAGGTTTTGTTCAGCCTAAATTTACTTCAATCTTCTGTGGCATCTTTTAAACAGTATTTGATTGCTGATATCAGGGTTAAACACTGGCATGCAACTGAGAATTATTCATTTACTTATTTTAAATGTGAAAAAATCCCTGTTCTTCAGCAAGATGGGGTGTCTATTTTAAGTTTCTGGCCATCAAAAAATGGGTAGTTAGAAGGCAGAAACTTTAATTGTCACCACACTTCCAATCACGTGCAAGATTTTTTTTTCCTGCCTTAGGACAATTTTTATGAAAAATATAGACACAAAAATACCAGTAAAAAACTTGGAGTAAACCTGAAGAAGCCCAGGATAAAGCAGTCTTAATGCTCTATCTGGGTGAGTGGCACAGAAGGATGTTTACCCTCCTTTCCCCAAAAGAATACTGGGAGAACATGTACTGAGAGTGGTTTTGACAAAAATAAAGAGTTTTCAATTTAAAGAAACTTTAGATCTTATTTGAATTATAAGAACTGCTGTCAATTTTTAGACTGTTGAACATTTGTTTACCTACTCACTAGAGGATAGTAGAAAGAACAGCAGAAAGAATGTCCTTACAAGATCTGAGACTTCTCCTAAGCCATCCTGTTTACAAGAAGCGATTAAGTTATTCTCCACAAATTAATGTAATTCATTTTTAATCACAGTATTCTCCTGGCCTCTATAATATTATATGTCAGTAAATTCTGCAGTTTGAGTATGCATTGTGTGAATATATTTTTCACACATATTTTATTTCTATTATATCATTTCAGAAAATGCCCTCCAAGTTTTTATATTCTGAGAAACATGAATCGGCATTCAGTGTTCTGCTATAGTTATCTCTTTGGTTTGCATATTTTGAGCTGAAATATCATTCTTTGGTTCCTTTACATATGCAAACAATTCCATATTTCTGATTGTTCCTGCTGTATTTGTTTGTATATTTTCTGTTTGTTCTGTGCCTTTTAGAAGTCAGAAGTCACTGCAGCAATTAAGATGTGGGTGTATGAATTTGTAATCTAGACTGCAGACTATTTCTTTGAGGATAAAAATTTTTCAGTTTAAAACTTATTCAACTAAAAAATAGTGTAAGTGTGAAATGTGCTAATTCTTAGAAAACAATATAGCCTGCCAACACATTATGCAATTTCAGTAAAGAAATTTTAATTGTGGTTATTTAATTGCACTGAAGGTTGATGCTTTCCTCACAAATAGGAAATTAAAATTAGTTCAGGGAAAGTCATGCAATTCTCATACGTTAGCTCAATTTACTATAAAATTTTAGTAATAGCCATGCTACAATTGGCAGGGTACAAGTATCTTTGAATTCAAGAAATAACAAGTAAAGTTTTTCTCTAAAACAAACAATTACAAGCAAGTGATGACAATTAGCACTCAAGAAAACAACCTAGAAGATGAGGGCAGAAATTAAGGAAAAAGTTTCAACCTCCTCTGATTATTTTCTTAATTATAGTATTTCAAAGGCCAAGTCTCTCTTTTTCCCCAAAAAAAGCAGCCAGTCCACCTGTGATGCTGTCCCTGTTGCCATTTTCAGGAGAACTTTCCACTGCTGTATTGATACACGTGCCAGTGAGCAAGAAAGATTAGTCTCCATTCTTCTTAGCCACTGATTCGAATCCCGGTCTATTAAATGAGGACAATATTTGTGACCAAATACTAATCAAGAGAGCCCTATTAGCTGGCTGGGCTTTGGCTGGGACCTGAAAGGCAAAAGCTCCCAAAGGGAGTGCAAAGCAGTGAGATTCTGTCTTTGGGTAACCCTGACACTGATCTCGCAGTGGGTTTGATGTGCAGAGATGCCAATGATGTTACTCAGGCCCTAGCAGAGAGAGGATTGTGGAATGGGAAGATGAGGGCAATTGAGTTTGCTGATGCACATCACGTGGCTGTTTGGAAAGGTTTTCATCATGAAAGATGTAAAAAGGCTGAATCAACTATGATTTGAATAGATGTCATTTACTCATCAACTAATTCATTCTTATGAATGAATCTAATTAATTACAATTGGGTTTGCTTTTTATTTATGTTTATATTTACAGCTAAGTACACCCACTTTAATATATTTTTAGAATATTATATTCTGTATTCAGGAGGAGATATTTGCATCCTTGAGGATGAAAATAGTCAGCTGTTGTCACAGTGGGCTCTACACTTCCCAGCTGTGTAGCTAAAATTATATATTGTAGTCACAGGATACATCTGGCAGAGAAGAGAGATTAAGCTACAACAGACCACGGGTATAAAAGACAGGGTTCTCTCTCTCTCATTTTCTCTCTGTCTTCTCAAGCCACATCCACCCATTCCAGAATCTCCTAACATCTCAGCTCCACATCATCTTCCAGGATCTAGAGATCTGCGCTTCAGGGAAGAGCCAGTGCAAGAGGAAGTGAACGGGCCAGGATTGAGACCTGCCCAAAGGATGGGAGTAGAAAAAAGAATAAAAGCAAGGGAAGAATCAGATTTCAGTGATTTCTCAAAGTGTCTTTGCCACTGAAAAGAGGAGAGTCTCTTATAACACCTGACATCCTCAAATATGAAAGCTTCATCTGTAAGATGAGATATGAAGAAGTTTGTTCAGCCGAAGCTTGTTCTGCTTAGATCATCCACTCTATCTTCTCAAGCTGCTGCAAGCCAGCTCTAAGTACTAACAGACTTAAACCAATTGAAAAAAATAATCACATTTAAGTAATATTTTTCATTTCCTTGCAAAAGTTAATTTAAATGATAGTAAAGAAATCAGAAAAAAAATAAAGTAGAATTAATGACTTGGTTTCATCTTTGCCAATCAATTTTTTCAGGAAGGGGGAAGGAAACCAATGCTATGTCAATTAAATATGTATTATGAAGAACTACTGCCTGGAATACATAATTTCTGCAAAAGAATCAGATTATACATATTTAAAACATTTCCATTAACTTCAGAAATGGAACAAACTGAAAGTGCACAGGTCAAAATCTTTTATTGAAGCAAGTATTTGTAATGTCAGTATAATTGCTAGCAGATTAGTTTAATATTTATTTGAATTTTTGCAAGAGCAATTTCAGCTGCTTTATATTAATTTTAGATGGTACTTTTCTTTTTAACCTTTTGATGATGTAAACCTGAAGATTTAAGCATGTGCCCCACCTTAGCCATGTCTTTTCAAAGTACTACTTCATTAAGTAATTTGGACCACTGATTACAAAAAAAAGAAAGAACAATTCATATTTTATCTGTGAAGTGTGACACTGAAGCTTCTCACAAATTATTGCAAATTAATATTGTGAATTAAACTGTTATTTAGTATTTAGTTAATATCTTAAACTCTTTGATATATACATTATAAAATATGGTCCTAAAATCAAGAAGCAAGGACTTTAAATCTATTATTATATAAATTCAGAATTCACTAAAAATCTTATATTCAAGGATACTGTCTACATTAAATGAATGCATTGGTGCCAATGGTTTTTCTGTAGTTAACCCACTAGTATGTAGTTTGTTTACAAAACTTTGTTGGAGGTATTATTCACCCTTTGTCTGATAACTAGACAGTAATAGATCGTAAATGCAGACTTTCAAATCCCTTCCACCCAAATTAACAATTATTACAGTTAGGGACAGAAGGCAAAATAGATCCCATGCTACTGTAACCCTCAAAAATGCCTTAATTCAGCATAATCCCAGCCTCAGTTAAATCAAAAGATATATTTTTATTCCATTTAGCAAGTTTGAGTATCAATAAAATGTTTCAGGGGATAGTTTCCACTGGGGACGCTGGAAAACCTCCCCATCAGAACTTGCCAACATTCAGCATCCTCCTGCCCTTCCACCCCCACCTACTCCTTCCCTGCAATGCTGCTCAGGCTGCCACCTCATCCAGCACAACAGCTCTGGGAGAACACCTGCACAGCAGAACTGGAAGCTCACAGCACTCACAGGGCTGGGGAAAAACTCTGTCACCTAAAAACCATTAGGACTATTATCTTAAATTTCCATTTAGCAATTTATTTAATTTTTTACTATTTGCATTTTTACATTCTATTACACAGGAAGGAATTTATAATACAGTAGTTTCTTAGTATAAAAACATTTCCATTTTTCACCCTCAGGGATGAAGTAATAAAAAGTAAAGAAAAAATTAGGTGTTTCAATTAGTTTCATTAAGGAAACAGTTTTGGGGTTTTTTTGTAAACTTTCATGGGATGAAATGTTGGTAGCCATGGAAGCATTAACTGCTTCTAAATAAAAAATAATATGGGGACAATTGAAAAAATGTTCACAGGATATTCTTTGGTTTTCCCAAGCCTGTCAATGTTTCAAAAGCATTTGGGCAATGTATTTAATAACATGTTTTGGTTTTTTGTCAGCACTGAATGGCCGGGCTCTTGGACTAGGTGATTGTGGTAGGCCCTTGCCAACTGGAATATTCTATTCTATTTCACCAGAATCACATTTCCCTCCATAGCAACATTCTAAATAATTGGAACTCTCCCAGACGAATGAAACAATATGCAAACATAAATATTTTCTTACAAAGCAACCAAAAATCTGTGGAGTGTTCCAAAAAACCTTCTACCTTCCACATGACAACTGAAGTTGGCCCAGAGCTTTTCTTAACTCTCTTATTAATATAGAGAGGAAATAATACAAAATACCTTCTGTGCTTCATATGGTCTCAAGAGAGATTTCTGATAGAACTCAAGAAAACACAGGAGGTTCAAAGCTCCACTAAAGTGCATATGACCAACCAACATAGATAGCAAAATGAACTAGGACAAGGAATAGAATGAGAAATAAAATAAGTGTGAGTCAGTCTAAATACAGAAGGAAGTGCAAATTCATGGCTCAGGAATTCTGTGCTTTTCTTGTGGAGAAAGCAAAAAAAGGAAAGGAAAAAGAACGCAGACTAGGCTCCCAATCCTGTCCCTTACAATGCAGGAAGATTTTACAAGGTTTTGTGGACTCCCTGGGGCAACAAAGGGTGGTGAAGCACACTTGCAGTTCCTTCCCTGGAGTTCACAGAAGGCCTTCACAACCACTTAAAATCACTTAGTTTTCTTCAGAGTGTTCAGAGCTGACATATAAGCAGCCCCAAAAGAGTCTCATAACAACTGTTTTAAGAATTTGCTCTCTGATATCCATCCAGCCTGTGCCCGAGGGTCCTTAGCGTGAGCTAATTTCTCATGCAGCCCTGCTGTCTCCATGTCAGTCTGTCACTCTATCATCCTGCACATAATAGTGGAGTTTAGAGGCTTTCAACCAACTTCATCTACACTGACAGAGGAGAATAAATATCAAATTCTATTAAGATATTTGAAATTGTTAGAATAGGATAGATGAGAAATATAAAAGAGAGATACCACTTCCAGATAGAAGAGAGAGATACAAATTAGAAGTCCTTAATCAAAAAGAAACTATCCAACTAAAATTTGCAGCTAATCCACAGGTGTGCAAGTCCACAGATGCTGCACCAAACTTGGTCTCTCCCGATGCAAAGATATTGTAAAACATGAGAAGAATGTGGTATTATTTCAAGACGGAAAAGAGTAAAAGAAATATGGGAGACTGACATTAGATGTAACGGAAAATGGATTTTATTAGTACTACTCTCAAGAAAGTTCTGCTCTAAGGGGGTTCTGTTTCTCTCCACTGTGATATGGATCTATTTTCATAACAATGTGAGTTTCATTTTTTAAACGTAACTAAAAGATAATTAGTTGAACCAATTCTCAAAGAGATTCCAATAATTAAAACTGCAAAACCTGCAAAATGTCCCAAATGAAATGCACTACAAAATTTAGGTTGGTAAAAACTGTACGTTATTAATTTACTTATATTTAATTAAGGAAAATTCCTCAGATAGAGCTGGATTTGTAATGGGGGATTTATATCAACAAGAAACTGTAAAAATATATACCAATGTAAATACTGATTTTGCCAGTACTTCACTTACCCCATGTCTGTATTCTAAAAATACTTACACTAGTTATCAAACAGCTGCAATAAAATAGCATTCTTTTTAATCCAGTTTAAGCAAGATAGCATTTTCCTAGTATAGTTAATAAAGCTCACTACAATTTTCCTACCATAGCTCTACCTAAAATAAAGGCAAGCAAAGCAAGTATGGTGTTACAATATTGTTCCAATATCAATATTGAGACATTAACAATAGAGAAGGAAAGCCAACAAAAGACCTATTATTGAAAAGCAGACAAGAAAAGCCAAAGAACTTTTATGCAATTTAGTATGTGCACAGTAGGTAGCAAAAGCACACCAATAAAATATCAAATTAAATTTTGCACATATATGGAAGCAATAAGCATTTCTGGCATGCTGAAAATTTACCTGAATTATATGAATATAAGCCTTTATCTGGAAAACAAATATTGAAATGAAGTAGTGTCAGGGAAAAATACATGAATCAACACATGTAACAGGGATTATTAGAACCTTAAACTTTTTTTATAATTGCTGCCAGAGATAGAAGAATTTGATAGTGTAGGCCACAATCCTTCCAAATGAAACTCAAGAAGCTAAGAGAAATTAAACCACAAAAATCCCAATCACTTCTGGATCAACAGTTATACACTATAGCCAGAGATCTAGTAGAGCAATTTCAGTAATTTCCAATTTTGAAATACAACTGCAGACTATTACTATAAGTGTTTAACTTTTGAAGGGCAAAATGTATATTCAGCTAGGCATACAATATGAGCTGCTACCCTTAAAAATATCACACACTTCTGTTGGCACTGCAATACTAGCAGAACTTTCTCAAGATGTAGTTTTGAATCCTACTTTAAATTTAACAGATTTTGAAGTGATGTGCCAGTCATTCTCCCTCCTGCTAGGTCTTGATCTGGTAAATATGTACATTCATGAGAACTTTAATTACATACTGTTGTTACCACTAAATTTTAGAATCCTGGTATGAGCTCAATGATTAAATACTTGTAATACCTGATTTACTGTTTGCATTCCTTATAGCTGATAGGTTTATGTATTTTAGCTTTCCAAACAATCATACCAAGTTTTCTAAACTGAACCAAAAAATAGGAGGTGGATATCTTGACAAATCTGGAAACATGAAATGTTAATTGCATTCGAAGATTTTGAAATATGAGGTACATAAGCTGTCATAATATAAAGAAGGCAGGAAGCCAGAACAACATTAATAATATCTTCTCATTTTATTAATATTTTTATTCCTTGTAGTTTAAAAGCTCACAGACACCATATTAAATAGAAAATAGTGCCAGTCTGTAAGTAAATGATGCACCTCTTATGACAGTGTTGGAGAAAATTTCAATTTCTTGCCAAATGGTGCTGTTAATGGATTCACTGGATGACTAAGTGCCTTCTGGCAAGTCACACATTTTCTGACATCCAAGTACTAACTATTCTAATATGTGGATCATATTACTAAATCACCTACTACTTATAATTTATATCTATATTTTCAACTTTGGTTTCTTGATAAATGTAATACATTTTTATGTCCCAGACCCAGAATTTCACTAGGCAATATAATTTCAAAGTGAATGATGGGGTTTTTTTCAGCATCACTTACAACCTTTTGGATGTGATTTATTGTGTAACTTCTCTAATACTTGTATTCCTTAATACTAATGCCTTATGGCTATGTACTTCATTAAAAATGAAAATTATTTGGCTACCAAATTATGAAAAAATGCAGGTTAGGGACTTTGCCTAGTTTACCCTGACAATACCATGTGTTACCTGAACACCAAAGGTGGAAGCATGCCACATGCCCACAAAAAAAAACTATTAACAGTGTCTAGAAATTATTCATATAGTTAAAAATTATGGGCTTTCTGAATTAAACTGATGGATAGATCTTCAAAAGTGTAGAGCTTCTTGAAAGCACAAGAATATAAAATTAGTGAGATTATAATGGCATCAAGGACTAAGAAAGGAATGTTTGTTTCTGTATGGTAACAGCACAGAAAATAAATCAGAATAGTATTAAAACCATCTGAAAACTTCATTATGCAATAGAAGAGTAGTTTAATAACATGATTTTATCAAGTATCAGAGAAATAAATAATTCTCTTAAACTGCTTCAAAACAGGTTTTAGGTATTTTTGTAGTTTAATTAAAATTTAGTAAATTAATATCCTAATTTAGTTAGAAAAAGACAAATATTTTGATAGTTTAAGGCCTTTTTAGACATCCCTGTATCATGTTAAATACCTTTTAATTAAAGTATTTAATTAGCCATAGATGTACAATAAAATATAATAAATAAATAATAGATGTACAATAAATACAATACTGGTATATATATCCATATTCTGTGAACAAAATATCAATGCATGCAAACAAAGATAACATGCCCAAGGCCTATGCTCCATTCAAAGAAAGAAAAAAACTAAGGAAGAAGCATAAAAGAGAAAATTAATTGCCATTTTGGCTCTCTAGGGTAAAAATCATACAATAAATTAATCATGGCCTGTGCCATCTACCATAAAATGCTCCATATTATAATTTGGAGAAAAAGTCTCTGATGCATGTGTCCATTAAGTATAATTCACTTACCTACTAGTGAACAGTATTATTATAATTTCCTCAAGTCAGGTGCAGTGAAATTCACCAAAAATTATCATACTGACTACCCAAACTAGTTAGTTGTGACTAACTAACAGGAAATTGCTGAGGCAGCAAGATCCTGATTCTGCAGTAAACTGAGCCTCTACAGAGCTCCAAGCAAATGAATAATTTTCAGTGGAAGATTTTCCATCATTTCACAGGGGCTTATATTTCACAGATTAAAGTTTCAGATACATCTGTAATTAAATTATTGTTAAACTTTAATGATTTTGGTACTACAAAATGTATATCTTGATGTTCTGCAATATAGACTTGATAGCTTTACCATTTAAAGAATGGAAGAGAGGGATTAAATTAACAGTTATGACATTCCTCCTTGATCAGATAGTAGAGCCACAGAACATCCAAAAAATAAAAATTGTTAGCACTCAGCAATGACAAGTCCATTTAAAAATGTTTTTCAAAAATTAATAAGAATGGGATTATTTATTTTTTAATTCAGTCTATCAGATTGATTTTTTCTAGTCAGATGTAATAATTTTTATCATGTTAAGGTCTCAGCATTGCTGCAGAAAATACAGTCTGATGGAAAAAAGTACAAAGTAAAAAGCTGAAAAGATGACAAAATTTTTCATGTTATTTAAAACACTTTGTTTACACATTATAGATTTTTTTATTCCCATCCAAAAAATAATATAATTTTTTTTAAAAGTTATATATAGTTTTTGCACATTATATGCAGATTTCTTAGAGCAAAACTGTAATCAAATTTTCCCCGACAGTTTAAATTTTCATTACTGTAATTTCTCTCCCTCCAGATTTTTTATGGGCCTGGAGAAACATGAAATTCAGTGAATTAAGTCATTGATTAATTTCATTCTAAAATTAATTAAATTCTCTTTACAAGAAAACTACTCCAAAGTCTATTAATTTACATTTACTTTAATTTTGATTGATTTTTTCCTGGTCTTCAGCTCTTGGGAAAAAAAAAACATATTTGACTTCTACATGTTGATTTTCAAACACTGTAATTTCTAAAATCTTTGAGATCTTCTTCTCAGCAGAGTTTATCTCTCATGTATTTTTTACTTTTCCCTTACTGAGATTGCTCAAAATATAAATTTTTTATTTTTCAAACAATATTGTGAATTCTTGTGGTATTTAAAAACTGTAGAGAGCTGCTGCTGTACAGACCTATCCTGCAACAGGAGACCTGAAAATGTCTGGGTTTATTGCTATATTCCCATTTCTTCTCATTTGCACACTTAGCAGTTACCTGCACTGCACATTGCACTCTCTGTGGGCTGCAGAGCAGTACTCCAGCCAGCTTCGTTTTAAAGCTGCAGAATCTGACTTAGAAAACTAGTGTTTTCTTTTCAATCCTAAGTATTTAGGAAAGTCTTAAAATACTCAGGGTAAAACAAAACCTGCTTCTAAAACAAATTCAGTGTCAATATAAAACAAAAAAAAAATTGTTCTCCAAAACAAAAAATAACCCCATATTCTTTCTCAGTTCTACAATATCAGTTCACACTGCACAAATGCTCATATTACGTGGGTATAACTGTAAAAGATGGAATAATAATGCATCATATCAAATTTGATTTCTATCTCTATATTCCGGCATCATGGAAAGGAACTAATTTTAGATAGACAATCCCATGGTATAAACCTTGTTTGATTTCTGTATAATTTCTCAACAAATAGAAATACTAACAATAGCTTGCACATCCTCATAACCATGGACACAGCACCCAAAGCACATTCAATTTTATATGTATTCTCCAATAAGATTTTTAGCTGATGTGAGATGAAAAAATAGCCAACCAAAAATGGGAATTCCTAAATATTCTCTAAAATTATTTTTAATTTTCTGGTTACAATCTTTTTCAGAGGCAACATAAAAAGAACTTCAGTTTGGCTGTAATTCTACTTAATGTCTGGAATTCTGGGTGTATGCCTGATTTTATGGTAAATGTTAAGAGAAAATGAAGTAATTTTAAAAACACACTTTGAAAGTTGAGCACAATAAGTAAAATAGACCAACTCATTACACAATATTTCTCATAAGGAAAAGCTTAAAATATACTAATTGGATCAGGTTATGAAAATTTCAAATATAATTAGCTGAAAGAGCTAGTAAGTCATAATCCTATGTTCTATATTAGTTCCAGTTTCTAAGTAGATGTTTGTCAAAAAACACAAAGGAGAAAGTATAGGAATGGTTGTTTATCACTAGGAAGTTAATGGAATATATGGATCAGAGGACTGGGAAAGAGAAGGTGGACAGCTGACTTAGATCAGTCTGTACCACAACACACTGCCCACTCAAAGATATTGAGAGATAAATATATGTAGAAACTAAGCTACTCTCTCTGAAAGCTGGTTTCTAAAAAAACAGCATATGGGGCTCTGTGGGAAGCTTGCACTTTGCTACTGGCAATCTGTAAATACAACTTCACTCTTCAGGGCTGACAGTCTGCTCCTCTTCAGGAACATTGCAATCCACTGAGAGAATAGAAGTGGTAAGTGTAGGTGGTTTTTTTAAATTACCTTTAGAGAGTAACACTCAAGTATTGTCTTCAAATAAATATGTTTATCCCTATGTGACAATCATAAAGATAAAAAAGCTTAGATGTGTAATGTATATTTGTACAAACAAAAAACAACGTTGTAATTCAAAATATCTCTCCTGTCATTTCTCACAGTAACAATTTTTGGGGGCATTCAATAAATTCTTTCATCACTAATTCTATACATAGAGGCATTGCAGAAAAGAACAAAAGGTAGGAGGACTGAACCACTCAGATTTTTACCCCAAAAATTGAAATCAGCCTGCTTAATAACCTCACAGTACATGTTCTAAGAAATGCTTTGAAAACCATTGACAAACATGCTAGACATGCCTTGTTCTAGAGATTTTCTTCATGCTGTCATAATGTGCTGCTGGATAACATCTTCTGTTTCATCATATACAATAATGTGATTGAAAGATACAAAAGCATCTTCAGACACAAGAAATTAATATAATGACTTTATACTCTTTTTATACCTCAAAAAAAAAAAAAAAAAGCTGAAACCTGAACTTCTGTGCATTATTAATACAGTATAAATATTTCACTTAGTGAAGGCAAAGAGTCTTAAGAGGTGCTGTCTGCCCTTCACCTGTCCCTGGTGATGACATTTAGATTGGAAAGAGCATTTTTGGAGCCCATCTGGTGCACTGCCTCTTTCAGGCCTGGCCAACTTCCACTGCATTGTTTACAGCCTTGTTCAGTTGAGTACTGGATCTCTCAGTAGGATATTGCATGACCTCTTTGGACACCAAGAAATACTTTTCTTTTCAGAGTTGTGACAGAAATAAAAGAAAAATTGTATTTTCCCATTACTAAATGGATTCTCCTGCCATAGCTGAACTCTGATCAGATGCTAAATTTCCAATTGTATACCTTTTCAGAATCCAAAAAGCAAGGATTTTAATTCCAGGACACCATGTTCTGTACATTTAAAACTATCTGTTTAAACTGAGAATTATTTATGATACACAAGGATTCAAGATATGAATATATTCCTAGGCCACTAGAGAAAATCCTTCTTTATCGGGTCCCTATCTCTATACAAAAGGAAATAGGATTATTTAGTGTAGGAACATGTGAATTCTCCAGCAATAATAGTGAACATCTAAAATTGCTTATTTGATTGAAGTTTTTTGAACCTGAGGCTGAAAAACTAGGACCCTGGGAACAGTCAGGATAAACCATCTTCATTGAAAAGCAAGACTTCTATACCAAATCTTAGTATTTCACCAAAACAGAAGTTTTGCTAAATCCTTTCCTTTATATTTACAGACAAACATTTACAATTGTTCAGTTGAGCACATTATGAGTATTAGTATTTATTAGTTATTTTTTATTACTTATACACTTTACTACTTACACAGTAGTATTACTACATTAAAAAACCTGAAAAGTCTTTCAAATTTTGAGTCAATATCATTCAACAGATCTTTACTCAAACATCACTGAAATATGTTAAAAATAAATCAGAAATTCATTCTTAATGGCAATTTTTTATTGCACAGACAGAAATTCTGACAAACAGCGTTTGTTTGCAGGACTGAATATTTCCTGAAAACCAGAATTTCACATACTTCAAGTAAAAGAGTCCAATTGGTCTGTAAAAATAGTTGATGGAAGCTTCTTAAATGTGTTAAAAAATGTGGTCTATACCATTATAGACCATATAAGAAGTATAATTTTAAAACTTTAGTTAACTAACAGTCATGGCATATGAGAAGACTGAAGAAGATTGAATTGCAATAGAACTCTTTACCTTTTAACTATCACTTATTTCATCCTTCTGGGGACAAGTATAATCTTACAACTTCAAGGCTATGCAGTTTAAGTTTCTGATAATGTGTCTATCTCAGAATATTATGATATGGAGCATTTTAATCCTTCTCACCATCAAGTGCACAGAAGCAAAACAGATCAAATGCTTGAAATATTTGTATACAATTGGCTATGTAATAAAGACTCTACATAGAACATATGAAACATCCAAGTTTGTTTTCATGACTACACATAAGTTTCTGTGAGTTTGTGTGAAACATGCACACACACATACAATGACTCAAAGAAACTCCAAGTAAAACTTAAAAATTGGATTTGGGTTGTTAGGGGGTTTTTTTGTTTGTTTTGGAGTTTTGGTTTTGTTTTGTTAGTTTTTGTGGTGGTGGTGGGTCTTTTGGTTGGTTAATTTGGTTTGCTGGGGTTTTTAATATAATGGCCAGCTGGTATTTTATAAAGTTTATTCAGTGAAGAAGAGCTTTAAATCACTGGCAATATTGAACAGTTAAACTGGGGAAACCATGAAGTATTGAATAAGCAGATTTTTCCCTTTACTGTCTTATTCTTATGTATCTATTTATATTACCATATTTTATATACTCTATTTTCAAAATATCTACTGATAACTACTATGGATCGAGTATAACAAACTCTACATAGTAGAATTTTTAAAGAAATTCTATTTGTGAATATAAGCACATAAAATAATATCAAAGCAAGGCAACAGGCCATAGTATTAATTTATATACATATGATGCTATACACAGGTTACTTTAAGAAGTGTGAGCTAAAGAGAGAGGTTCTGCAAACCTTCTTTTGTTTAAACAATGAAATTATGAACATAATGCAAAAGAAAGAGCTTCATGATAAAAAGAGCACATTGCAAAAGATAGTTTACTCGAGCTGAGGATCTGAACTGAGTTGTCTTATAAGAAAAAAATGGTGTAATGCACAGTGGTTGATATGATTTGTAGCATGTCAGACTCTCATCAGTAACCACAATGATCTAATTCATTGTGGTTACTGCATAGAAATTAATTAATATTAATACAGCAACAAATTAACATAAAAATTCTGACAGCTTTCCAATTACAAAAATTTAATATTTAATATGCATTAATTTAAATTAAATCTACACAGTGTGTAAAACTAATAATAACCTACTTTGTAACCTCCGTGTGGGACTCTCGCCATGGAGCTGTCTGCGTGGCAAATATGGTGAGGGGTGGGGAAGTGGCAATGAAGAGACATCATGTGTTTGAAGTTTGTACCAGTGAGGTTCATCATCTAGTAATGCTGTCTCTAACTCAATAAGAATCTAAAAAAGAAAGAATGGTTAAAAGTAGGAAAGCATTGTGTGACAGAATAATTTAAAATAAACATACTCATAAATGTTATTCTATTATTCTCTTACTGCTAAAGACTTGTCTGAAGTTATATAAAAACCTTGCTTTAATATGAAAAAATCTCCTGTGCCTTTTAGAGCACTAAATATACCAAAAAATCTTTCACAAAACCCTTATTACCTTATTACCTTATTACAGCTTTCAAATAAGTTAATGAGCAATATTCAAAAGTTTTAGTAAAATATGACTAAGGATAATATGGATTTTTATAAACAATTAGAAAGTGAGAAACCACATTCATGATGTTACTAAAATAGAAAAAAACACAGAAAGAATCTTGTATCAGGATTATGTGATATGTGCGAGATTACTATTTGTTTACTAAGTAAAAGAAAAAATAAAACAATAAAACCAGCTTTGCTTTGCAGTTAGTAATTTTTTCAAAAATACTGTATCTATACATGAGTATGATAGCAACTGTACTTCTATAGCAACTACAAATACTTGTATACCTCTCCTAAAAATTCACTTTCTTCCTCTCGAACTCGTGCTTGGTCCCAAAGAGTGATTTCTAACATTCGTTCTCTAAACTCTCTCCGATGAACTGGAGAATAAATAAATGTCTGATTCCACTTAGGTTCCAATGTTTTCTTTACTGTTTTTGTTCTTCTTTTATTTTTATCACTGAAAAAAACAGTTAAACATTAAATATGCTCAAAACACCATTAAACTGCATTAAGTATATAATGGAAAATAGGAAATCTTAAATCAGCAGTTCAGTTTGTAGAATCATGGGTACTATACATCATGAATTTTCCTTTATTATAATGGTCAGTGCATATATTGAGGATAATTAATAAGTTCATATTAAAAGCTATGGTTAGGTCATTTCAAGTTTATATGCCAATTCCAGTTCTAAGATGTTTCCAAAAAACCACAAATGTTTTAATGTGATTTTGGGTGTATTCTCTTTTATTTTGGAAACAGCATTTTATAAAGTAAAATATATTTCCATAAATGGGATTTTCCACAAGGCACAGTCTGGCAGTAGAAGATCTCTACAGACAACACTGGGCACAGTGAACACCTGCATTTCAAAAATGATCCAGCTGGCTCAGTCAAGTTCCAGTCCCACAGAGGCTCCCTCCAGCTGCAGAGCAGGAAGGAGCAGCTGCCCCACATGAAGGAATGGTCAGGGAGCTGGGGGCAGTGCAGGGTTTTCCTGGCTAAGGGCTCCTTATCCACCTGGGAAATCAGAAGCCCCAAAAATGAGTTACATGTTCTTTTCCAGCAGCGCTGGAACAAAAAATGTTCTCAAAACAGCTTCCCAAATCCTTTGGTCACTCCAGTGAATCACCCAGGCTAAGGTGAACCCCCATTACAAGGTGAGGTCTCCAGGCAAGGCTGCCCTGGCAGCCTTGGCTTTGGCTCCAGGGTGTTGTTGCAAGTAATGTCTTTTACAGAATATTTCTGCTTGAAAGAATTAATATTTTCTGATTAAAACCATTTTCGCTGAAAAACACCCACACTCCTTCAACTGAGAACACTGACAAGAGTCCTCATAACAATGGTTATTTTAAACCTGCTGATTGCTGCATAATGCAGCTGCCATACTAATTTATAAGGATTTTTAATAGGCAATGCAGATGCAGTCCATTCGTTAATAATTGCAATTGTAATAAAGTCATTGTATTTCTGAACTGTTACTTGGTAGCTAGATCAAAAAATTACCTAAGTAATAATATTTTTAGACACACTGTTAAAAATATATAAATTATTACTAGCATACAAAAGGTTTGTTTACCCTTGTGAACTAAGTTACATTGTACAACATTTTTCAATTAAATTTCTTAAATCAAAGAGAAGTTTTGGTATCTTCATCTAATTAAATGCTTGACTTACTTAAGAGTATTTTACCTCCAGCATGTTTCTTTCTAGTACACAAGAAATATACTGTTTCCTACTTAGCTTTTAAATGTACGGAAAGAAAAATGAATTTCCACATCAGGAAAAAACCCACAATTCTGTAAGAAAAATTGCTGATCATAGGCACATAAAACAACTAAAGAAAAGTTCTGAATGCTTCTCATACATGGGAAAAATATATAGATTCATAACATTTAATGCCAATATATTTTTTAGTTATCACTATTTACATTGTAAAACATTGTGAACACACTTTTGTTAGCCTATTAATTGTTCAAGCAGGTAAGATAATTGAAGCAGACCTGATTCTGGAGCTGATTGTAGCTTCAGAAGGTACAAACACACTACAGCAGTTTGAATAAACTAGAGAACTAAACCAACTGTTCAAATACTGGTGACCTTGAGAAAAACTACCCAAAACCTTTTAATCATCAATGACACAGCAAATTATGTAGCCACAGAAAATGTGCTTGTCAACATATGGTTTACAATGAAAGTGGAAAAGCAACCTCTTCTAAAATACTAAATAGCTTTAACTCCTGCTGAAGCCAAATGGGAATGGAAATAGCTAGCATCTTCCCACTTTTGCCATTTGGAAAAGCAAAGTAAAAATACAAGTTACATTCTATTCTACAGATTCAGCAATCCACTGATATATTATTTTGAGTGACATTAAAGCTTTGAATTATTTGGTTGGTACATTATAAAATAAAGGTAAACATGTTCCCCTACTGACACAATCTGAGGAAACATCAATTCAAAAATAAACTGAAAAACACACTATCTCTTCTGTTGTTCTTCCCAAAACCTGAATTGAAACACAGAAAATCATGGATTAAGAAGTGAAGGAGCTTTCCAGGAACAGGGCTCCTACCACAGTTTAATTTTTCCTAAGTACATATATTACACCATCCAGATTAACATGAGTCCTGTGCTTTAGGGAAAGTTTTCAAAGTGCAAATGCGAACTCTCAGCTGAGTCCCCTTCAGCCTTAACTCACTTATACTGTGAACAAAAATCTGTGGGTTTCAGAGGCCAAACCTTACTGCTTTATTGCATAAAGGTGGGGCAAACCAAACTGCTGGACTCATCAGTCCAGAAATTTATGAACCCGACTGTGTAGCATCTTCTTTGCTCTAGTGAAGAAAAACTGGCATAGGAAATAAAGGCATTACAATACACTAATAACATTCTTTTCAAATAACAGATTCCCATGCAAAGACATATATTTACCTTTCTTTTCCTTTTCTATTCAGTATTTAATAATACAACCAGTGAAAGCAAGTTTGTGCTTAGTGTTCAAAGACACCTTGCTGTTACACAGCATGTTCAACACAAGAGCTCAACATTGTAAGCTTTTTTCCATGTACGTATGGCTGATAAACTCAGCTGTGCATGCCACCTGAGTAAGAGACTAATTCAAATATTCCTTGTCTTTGTGTTCACCCTACCTTCTGTCTGGAAGAAAGTAAATTTTAACATAAGGATTCCTTGGCCTCCCATCTTCCCTTGAAGGAAGATCCTTTGCTCCCAGTATGGTCACTATTAACTGATGACCAACCTTGTCATACCACAGTTTTATCTGCAGGAAGAAAATATTAATTAGTGAACTCATTTCTACAATGAAGTTGCATATTAATCCTTAAAAATAATTTTGCTCATGAGCTTCTATTTATATTGGTTACTTAAACAGAAAATATTATATTCTACTTCTCATTTATAACAAATGAAAATAAGTTAATATTGTAATAGCTTCAGTATATACCAGGAATTACTCTTTTTTTTAAACCCTGTACTGTAAATACCTTACTTCACACTAATTGTTTTTACATGGTGCTCTGGTTAGGATTGTTCTCCCTTGTATTGTATTACTTGCATTATTAATGTATGCCATTCATATATATACATTTCTGAGGAGTTCATGCACAATGAATTAATAATTTTTCATCTGCTGTTGTGCTAAAGAGACTATGGGATAAACCTGCAAATATTTCATATCACTTAATATTTTTCAACATATACACACTTATTCTGAAATCATGTAAGTCCTCCATAAATACTGACAGGAAGGCTCAGTAGTACAACTCTCTTCATAGTCCAACTCAGTAACAAGGTAAAAACCACTATTATTCATTCATAGACATTATTAACCAATCTAAGGCTTGATTTCCTATCCTTTTTCACTACAGTCATTACAAGCTGCTATTTAACTATTTCAGTTTGAATTCTATGACTGCAAATACATCAGTCAAGAAGGGATATACCTACTTCAGAGCAGTCACTGCAGGAGGGGAAAATGATGTAGTTAGGGCAAAAGAAAGCTTTCCAAATGGCCAGGGGGCCATTACATGGTGGTAGCACTGCAGTATCACTAGCTACAGCTTACTGAGGAGGCTCTCTTCATGAGGACTTTGCCTGAGACAGAGCAAACTAGGACATTTAAAGAAAACAGTGACCCTGCCTGAACTTAAGAGAATCAGAGAGGATAATGCCCAGCTGCACACCTAACCAGGCAATACACCTTTAGACATGAATAGCTAAGGTAGACATAAAGAGGGGAAGGTGCATTTTCTGTGGAAACCATCTCACATAATTTCAGAGACAGAGTTGTCATCTGCTATCATAGCTCCTCATCTTCAACATTTCAGTCTCCTAAAGAAAGGTCTTGATGCAATTCTCAAGACTTTTAACCCATAAAGAAGAGGCTGATTTAGCTCTCTGCCATTGCTAATACTTCACTAAGTGAGATTACACTAAGACACGCCAACTCAATTACTGGTGGCAGTGTACTTCGTTCACTGCTTCATATCTTGCAATTCCTGTAGCCACCAGCCATTTGAATAGATATTAAAAATGGGATATTTGTCCTCCATTATCTTGTCATTGGTCATGCTACAGACTTTAAGATTTCTGGTACTAATGGTTAAAGGACCCTGTGGCCACTCATCTGTGTGTGAATTTTAGACATTCCTACATTCTTACAAGCCAGGGGCTTTGACATTTTTTCTACACTGAGAATTATCTGGACTTCTAGCTATCTCCATCCAGCTATAGACCAAAAGCAGAAAGCTTTGCACCAACAGTACAGCTTTAATAACCTCTGAAGTGTTAAGTTAACTTAGATGTTCTTTGACACTAAATGTATCCACCTGTAGGTTTCCTTGGGAGTCCTGAAGCAAAAGACAGACTTGGCTAGTCCCACATCTCAAGCATTGAAGACAATTTTCTTCTTTTGCTTTTTGTGGAAAATTATGCTTGCTTAAGGAGAATGAAATTTATTTGTGATACAGACACTATCACAAACTGTGACTGATGAATGTGAAATCATCCTGATATAGCTGCCAAAAATACAACCAGAATTATGTGTTCGTATGCAAGCTAAATATATTTGTTTCAGACTGAATTTTTACATGAAAACTTCAGTCAAAATATTTAGAGAATTACTTAAGCAGAAACTGAAATCATCTGACACAACTTCATTGAGATGCTTTAAAAACTGTAGTTTGGAACAGGAGCTCAAAATTTGCATTGACTTATACCTTCTACTTTTCCCTTGATGTTCTGAAATAAAAAATTGGAAAAACTTGAACTTAATGGGCATATTTTCCATGTAATGTTCTTTAATTTTCATTGTTACAGGAAAAGTCAGGAGTCAGAATTAAGACCAGAAAGCTCTCTCTCTTCTCTATTCACACTGCTAGCACTCCAATACACAGTAGAGGTACTTATAACTCAAGCAGTCATTTGATTAGGATGCTAGCAGAAGAAAGGAAGAAACTGTGAGAGAATGGTCAAAGAAGCCCATAGAGGGGAGAATGGGATTAGAAGAAGGGACAAATAAAAAGCTGCTCTATAATTACCACGAAAGTAAAATAGACAGGACACTTGGTGGTGAAACATGAAAAGAATGGAACCAGAGATTAACAGAAGTGCAAAAACAGAATGAATGAGAGAAATGCTGTGAGGTGACAAAAGAACTAGCTATGCCAAATGGCACAATATATGTTGAAAGAGAGACTGGGATGAACAAACATCTAGCAGAATTTTTTACACACACAAACACACACACACACACACACACACACACACACACACACGCACACTTATAAAAGCACGTGCTTTTATACGTTTAGAACATCTAAGAAACTTCAACAAAACAATCCTGATCTAAATGAAGGAAAGGGAAAGCTAAACATGCAACATATAAAATATATAAAAAATCATGCTGGCTGATGCTAATGTTGAGACTAATACCTGAACAAAACCTTCTTGAATGGGATTTTGTCTGTCTAGATTACTTAGGATGTAGGCACCTAAGATTCACTTAGAAAGTGGTGCTACCTGAATATATTCCCACTTTGCACTGAAGTTCTGGAGACTAATTAGCCACGCAGATGCTCATATACTTTCCTTCCCTGGGCTCCTTCAGCAGCCAGACATGCACCTAATGCTTTATTAAGCTTCTGCTATGACCTACATTCAGGCAAACAGGCATCTAAATTCAGTGCCTCCTGATACTGAGGTGCACTGAGATGGTCTGTTATTCACTGAGAGGAGCATCTGCTGCAGACAGGCTACCACTTTGGAGCGACTGCCACAGAGTGCAGGAAACAGGAACCCTTCTGCGCTCAGAGGATTGAAGGAAACAGAGATGTGGGTCTGACCCCAGTTTCATTCTTTCTGGTTTATAACCAGTAATGGTCTAATACAAGAGCAATACTCATGTAGGGTATCCAGTCTGGAACTTGCTAAACTGAAGCATACTCTGATAACACCACACACTCCTATTCCCAGCCAAAGTGTATCTCAGCTTCATATGAGACTTTGTACTCCAGAGAAGAATGGGATGTGGCATAGCTTGGTGATAAAGGCACTATTTTGATACACAGGTTCAACATCTTCAGCCTAAACAGTATATAAACAGTATATGTCCTGTTTCTGAAATAAGCTTCCTACACAAACAGTATATAAAAGCTGACTGCTGGTGTTGCATTCTGAGAAGGTATCTAGTATATTTAGCTAGCATTCCTGTTTCACAGAATCACAGAATGGGTAAGGATGGTCCTCTGTAGCCTGTAGTAGAAGGTGCCTCCCCTGGAGAATCAATTCACCCTCTGGAGTAGATTTAGTTTCCAATAGACTTAATGGGCTTAGGTGTCTTTTATTTGGGTTAATCACTCACTGCAGGTATCGAGGTACTTAGATCTTTCCTTCAACTGTACAAGTGAAAGCTCTTCCTCAAGGCACCTCAAATGTATTTGAAGTTAGTGTAAGTTATATAAATTAAGGCTATAAATTCAGCTTAACTAGATTTCATTTTTTTTCTATTAAATCTCATCTTCACTAAAAGTTTTAGAGCACTGAGGTCAGAGTTTAGAAAAGAAGTAATCATATATAAGAATCCCTACTCTTATTCCCCCTGATAAAGGAATCAGTTAAGAAATCCTAGATAATATTATTATTGCACTTCCTATACTCTTGTCTCATGAGTGTTTGACTGCTCAACTATGCAATTCTAATGTAGTTTTATATACATAAATACAGGACATACAGGCAAAACATATTGTCAGTCAGAATTTAGATTTAGAAACAGAGAATATTTGAAGATTTAAATCCTATGCTACAGTTATGTCTTTGTTATATAAGGGGTACTTCACGAATCTCATGAAAAGAGATAAAACTTGTGCCACTGGGAGAGACCATCTGCCCTACAGCTGATTTTTACCACCACAACCTACATCACTGGCTTTTAGAGACAGCTGGCAAGGCATTTTTTTTCTTCTGTTGCTCATTATAATTTTTCATGTAACCTACATAGATGTTTATTATGTTTATTATTATTTTAAAATTATATACTATTTTTCTTTCTCACATTATTCTGAAACCAAAGATATACCAGTGGGATCGTTTGTTTAAAAAAAACCCCTCAAGTTTCTTTTTAAAAATACTTGCAGTAATCTTTTTATTGTACTTAAGCTTATGTACATGCTGAAACTGCCCTGAGGTGGTAATGTCTTTGGCATAGCTGAAGCCAGTTTTGAATGTTGTCAAACTCACCTTTAAAAAATCCTGAGCACTGAGGGTTGCTAAATCAAACTACTATTGCTTTCTGCTTCAGCTGCTGTCTAATATGCTTGAACAACAACCAAAAAAAGGCTGTCAAATGGAAAGGCTTGTAGGATACAAAGGCCAGGAAATTATAGAAGTATTTAGGCTGCCCTACTCTATGATTCTTTTCAAAATATCTTTTTTAGTGGTTTTACCTTTTACATGTTTTTATATCTGATCAAATATATTGATGTTCTGTATTAAAGCCAAAAGGATGTCTGAAAGTTTTGAAGTTAGAAAAAACCCAGAGGCAACTCTGGCTCAAAAGAATGCTTTGCCAAGTAAACAAGAGATACTAAACAGAAAACACAATTTTAAGAACAGATTTTTCCCTACAAGGGTTCATAAAGCATCACTCTACAAGTTAGAAAATTACTGGTATGCCAAACTGAATCAAAAAGTTCAGGAAATAAAGATGCAATTTTACAAATACTGTAAAATTAGGAAAAGCTCAGTGGGCATTTGATAGGAAAGATACTGAGTGTTTTTCTTCCCAATGAAATAATGTTGATTCTATGAAATCATCCAGTGAGCTAGAAGATTAATGGAATGTCATGGAGGGAAGTGTGGAAGAGGAGCTTTTGCCAGAAAGGATCAATTTCAAACTAACAAGTAAAGAAGATGCAAGCAAGAATAAAGATATGCATTTCCTGTTGAGAGCAATGAAACAAATAAATATAAAGAGAACGTTTGGAGATTCTCATTCTTGTAAGAAGTTCTACAGACACAGCTTTACCTCAGCCCACAATGAAATGTATACTTCCTTACAACTGTAAACAGCAGCTCAGAGCTCTAATTTAGTGAATTTGTCATGCCAAAAAAGTAACCAGAGTTCTGTGCTGCTGCTGGACTGATCCTAATACCCTTGTTTGAAGTCACTGGAGAATTCCTCTTCTTTCAGCAGCATGCATGGTAACTATATCTAACATTAATCTTTTCATACGATCTACTATCACCACTAAAAGTGGGCAGATGGATGACTTTTTGTTTCAAAGTAGTTGTAAAGATTTTGCCACGGTCATAATTTTGAGTTCTTCAGGAACTCTGGTCAAAACCCTTATGTTTAGCATTGACTGTTACTAGGCTCTGCAAAAAAAAACCTGTTAGACACATCCACAAGCATCGATTATGTAGAGACAAAACTGGGGTAAGGACAATTCTTACCTACAATATAAAAAATAATGCACCCAAAGGATGAGCAAGTAATCCTTAAACATTTTCACCTCTTGACAATTTTTATGTCTATGTTTTTATTTTTTATAATGGAATTAAAATAAGGAACTACTACATGTTATTTCTACATTACAGTATTTCATGAAACATGCGGGTTTCAGGCAGAGATTTCCTTTTTAAATTGAACAATCGACTCTCATATATATTTTAAATTTATTTAGCACATATATAAAAAAGAAAATTTAAAAACTACTTATGTAATGTATAATATTTACCTCTATGAACTACTTAACAACTTGTAATTATACCTCTCTGATTTCATTATCATGAGCAGAATCCAACTTTCTTAATCATGCTAAAGGATGTTTAAAATTTATTGTACAAAACCAGTTTACGTCAATAGCACATAATATATTAATTTTAAATCATACAATAAAGGCATTATTTTATAATCTCTTATTTCTTTAGAAATCCTTAATTTTGAATTTATATTTAAGCAGATGTTAGAAATACTTTTGAGAATACTATGTTGTGAAAAACTGTGCTTTATCAAATATGAGTCATATTTGATTTCTTAACTGCAGTCTTATTTAGAATTCCTTTATAAACATATATAAACATATATATGATCTCTTTTCCATTTCATAATGAAATTCATTCATCTCTTTCTGATCATCCTTTACATTTTGGTCAATTAATCAAAGAAAAACATTTATAAAGCTGCCACACCAAAGATTAACATCTTCATAAAGATATTCTGTAAGAAAATCAGATAACATTCTAGTTAAAAAAAAAATTAAAAACATGCAGCAAAGTATGATAAGCAGAATCGAATATTAGTAAAACCTACTTTTGCATAACTCTATAGTACCTTAGAAGCTTCCTAATGAAAAAAAGGCAAACAACTTGTACCTAAACAGAATATCAAAGCTAAATACATTCAGGAAGAAAAAGGGGCAATTAATTTTTTATTCAAGTAGAGTTTTGGTTATTTAAATATACTTAAAATGCAAGAACCAAGTTTCATGCACAAGAAATTTGTTTATTTAAACAAGGTACAAATTTTTTGCCTGTCTTCTACTCAAGACGCTACTATTATGTGGAAAATGCAAAAAAATGTGTTAAGTAATGATAATGAATGATTTAAAGAGACATCCATCTTTATATAATAAACTCAAGCACAAAATTATTATTGCTTAAACAATACACAAATTTTGTTTGTGGGATGCATAGCCATCATCACTATTGAAACCTGTATAAGTTTAATATTGGGCAGACAGCAAACAAAAACTAGATGTCTCTTTAAATTTTAATTTAATATTTTAACCCCCATGCAGAATTTTACAAGCTGCTCACAAGATGATATGAAAGTTGTTAATATGGTTTAAAGCAACACACTCAAAATATGGGAAAACGGACTATAATGTAGCGTTTTCCTACTATGCATTTTCCATAACAAACAAAAGGAAAACCCACAACTTTAGTTTCTGTCAGGCAGACGAAGTCTTTACCTGAACCCTAGGAACAAAAGGCGTTGTTCTTCTACTAAGGCTTTGGCTCTGGTAAGCAAAATTAAAGAAAAAGCAATAAAACAAAACCAAAAAGGACAACACGCTGGAAACTAAAAGACCAAAAGTAAAAACAAAGACACATAACTATTACTTTAAACACAGCTTTACACCAACAACATATTTATCTAACAAAAAGCATTTTAATGCAATGCATAAATTAAATCTGCAAATCTGTTACTAAATCATATCAAAACCCTTTGGTGGAAATTCTTGCCTTAGGGAAGTCAGCAGGAATTTTGCCACTGATTCCCCAGGAGCAAGGATTTCTCTTTGCAAGTCTGTAGACAACATTTACAATATATTTAGAAATAACATGTAACAAAAACAACAGGTAGGCAAAGTGTGATTTAAAAGTGGTGTTAGAAACATAAGGTTGATAATCTCTTTCAGGGAGATTGTACATGCATATTCAGAGAGAAACAAGTACCATTTACGTACTGACTGCTATGGTTACTTAGGAAAGTGAGTAAAATAAAAGGTTTTTATTTTTGCGATTTTAAGAGCATGTCTACGGAAAGTCCTCCTAAATACTTAGAAAATAATTAAAAGAAAGTTAGTGCTCCCTGGTATTAACTTTATAGTGGGGAAGGTACAATCTATGTATTTCAATTCTCTAGCAATCATGAGAGAAATGACACACAAAATCCTTGAGTGAAATGGGATCTAGAAAATTTAGCAAATCATACATATAGATGCATTTATAACATATTTTTGTGCTGTAACAGTTCAGACCACATACAACCTTGTGGCCCCCAGTGGCTGCAGCAAGACTACATCAAGTACAGACAACACAAATTCCTGGACTAGCTGCAAATCCCAAGCAACCACTTCCCACCTTCACCTTAGGGCAACAGCTAATGGAGTGGCACAAAATTGGTACAGAGTATGGGCCATAGACAGGAAAAGGAGTATGTGTTGATACCTCAGAGGGCTGGTGAGTGGGAGAACAGGAGCATGGAGTAGGTCACAATAATCACAGCCTTCTGACAGGTTGGAATCTCCTTTACCTTTGTTCAGTTTTCATGAGATTATTGATCTAATTCAAAATGATAGAAAGAAGCTACTACTCAATATTCACTTCCATTAGAAATGTACTCAAAGCATGGAAATAGGCACTGTGATGATGCTTCTGCCACCCTCCTTGCTTATTTGGCATGCACAGATGATCAAGAAATCTGTTCTATAAAATGTGTGAAGTAATCTGTTCTTATATCAAAGAAAGAGGATACATAACATTTGGCAGTCTGGATCACGGGTTTTGTCTGGTGTGCTCCCTGCATTCTGCAAGGTGCAGCAGCTACACTCTACCTGTCATTCTGCATAGGCAGAACTGCAGAGTCCAGTGTTAAGAGTGTCAGAATGTGACCTACTCACAATAAAAGTAGATCTTCAGCTTGCTTCAGCTCCATTTTACAAGGGAAAAAATAAGTTATCACAGAATATTACCATCCTAAGAGGGACAGAATCTCTCTCACCATGCACCAAGGGTCCTCACCTGTCATATTCTGCCTTGAAAATGGAGGAAAATCAACACATTGTGTGCATTACCTAGAATTTTCCAGGTTTTGACATTAGAGCAACAGCAATTTAATTTTATAGAGGTTTATAGGGAAGGAAGAAAAGGAAAAAGTACATGTGAAAGGGGAGGGGTAGCATGTGTTGTACTTGATCTCATCTCCTCAATGTGCTGACATATAGGCCCTTCATAATGTACCATAAAGGCTTTCAGTTATGTTGCATATATTACAACTATAATGAATATAACTTTATTTTAATTACTTTATAAACTGAATATGTATGGAAAATCTATTGAAGTGGTTCTGTGGTTCAAATGTACAGGGAAAGAGATTCATTTGATAAATGGCACCCCTCTTCTGCTAGAACTTCCACCAGTACAAAAATTAAATACTGTGATTTTATACTTGTATCCATTAATATGGTCTTATGTTATTATTTCCTAAACCTAACTATTGGAAAAGCATTTCAAGTTATACTTTTCATACAGTATTGAAAATGTAGCTAAAATTCAGTAGTTAAGCTAAGAGCACCAACATACAAAGAATACTTTTGGCTTTTTCAAAATTATATTAAAGGAAAAACAACTCAGTGAAAAAATACAGAAACAGGAATGAGACAAAACAAATAGAAAATCTATAATTGCAATAACAGTCAGATATTCCCCTAAAAAACAACATGAATAAAAAGTGTTATAAAATAAAACACAGACAATATGGATAAATTATATTAGCAAGTTATAACACACAATAGTTTACTGTAGTTGTACATAATTTGTTCAATTAAATATGTACTTGGGCAGAATAATTAAGGTAAAGAGGATTTAATGTCTATGTGCAATGGTTTGCTTTGTGGTCAATCCTATTAGTCAGGTCTAGACTTGCCACTGTAACCTCCACAAAGAAAACACACAGACCACTGCCAATACAGAGGGAAACATGGAAGACTGGACAGAGGAAGACATCCCTGAATACTAGAGTGGCATTGCCGTAGCTAAACCAGCTAAAACCACGCTGAAAATAAAGAAATAGATTCCAAAATACTATTTATATTTAAAAAGTCCTTTAAGAATCTAGAGCACTGTCTGAATAAACCTATGCTCAAGTATTCATTCAAATATTTCAGACTTTCATCTAAATTGTTGTATCTCCATTTCAGCCAACAATTCTCATATTTCACTGCCTCTATTTCACAGCAACCACAGCTGCACTAACAGCAACCCCTCAGTACACATGCTACTGTTCAAAGGCAGAGAAAATATAGAAAACACTTCAAAAATGTTGCCTTTCATCTGTTCTCCTAGATCCATCATACCTGCTTGAATTCAACCACCATCACCCAGAATATCATTGACCCACCACTTCCACGAAGAGCAACATCCTCATTTATTAATTTACAGCTTATTTATTGCCAGGGTTCTGTAGTTATTCTCTTGCCTATGCACTCCTCATAAAGAATACATGCAGAATTTAGTATTTCCTTTCATTTCTACCTTACTCAGCTATTTTGAATGAATATGTGATCCATCAACTGTTCTGTTAGAAAAGATCTGATTAAGACATGGAAAACCAAAATACTGTAGCACATCTATTTTGTAGCATTCAAAATAAAATAGTTTTTGTAACTTGAGATTTTTAAACTTCAGTTTTACCTTACTACTTCACCTTTGTTAAAGGTCCAAAATTACAAAATCTCATAGTCCATTGTAATTTTTCAAAACATCTCCAACTGAACAGGATTTTTTCACTAATTCTTCTAAGGTTTCAAAACTTTTAAAAATTGTAGAATGATAAACCCAAACATTAAAAAGTAAAGGAGAAACTATTCATCATACCACATTCAAGAATATAAACACCCAAATCTAATGTCACAACATTTTTAATTTTTCAAAACTATCTTAAAGTATCACATCAAAACTAAACTATACTGGTTGTTTTGAAAACACTCTTCCTGTAGAATACTTCAATTCTCATAAAGTCCTCTATTTCTACAAATGCATATTAACGTACACATTGTGATTTGCTCAGTTAGGTCCCATGTTGCCTCCTGTGCAGAGCATCTTCAGACACTGTGACCAGCAAGGCAAAGTCTTAACACAATAGCAGCAGGAGCTGGTTTGTGCCCTTAGCATGATTAACATGAAACACAGCAATTTCCAATGTTTCATTAGCTGGGCAGACAAGACAAGCATCCAAACTTTCAAACTGTCTACTATCCTTAGATGTATAAATTGCAACTTTAGAGAGCTACAGAGTATTTCTGACTTCAGTTTCACTCAGCTGGAGCTTTGTGTTCTCAGATAGGTATCAGCTGCTCTCTGAGGGAAACACAGCTAATATGAAGTAGGGAGTATTGAATGTAATTGCAAACAGTACATAAGGAAGGACCAAAAAAAAGGGAAAGATTTTCTAATGTCTCCTAATATTATTTGGTTTCCTTAAATGGAAAGAAACTTTTTAGAATAGGCATTTATATAGTGAAACATTCAAAAAATAAACAAAAATAGGAATTATGCCTTCTTGAGTTAAACACTGAATTTGATATGCCATTCTGAGAAATAAAACCTTTGTATTTCTGTTATTCTCAATAAATTAGAATATATCTTAAAATTTCCCAATACTATGATTATATACTTAAGCTTCAGTATCCTATGAAACCACTAAATCAAAAGACTTACTGACTTCACTAAAAATCCTGATCTTAAACTCATGATGATTTTGATCTGAAATTGAAAAGTGAGAAAGTCATTTCTATGTGGTTCCTATTTGGACAATTATTCCATCGTTTGTGTGCACTGGTCAACTGAGCAGCTACCTCTGGCTCTTGAATTTCCTGCTGGAAGCTAGGCACCACAGCTTTTTGACAGCATAATATTTTATGAAGTTTAGAAAAAAGGAATTTCTTTCTTCCCTGTCTCTCCTATCAACAATTTTTACTGTCTTGTAAAAATAAGAGGGTTTTTAGGAACTTTGGTCTGTGTACTTTTGCAAAGCACTCTGCATTCTACAGTCAAGATTTTTAGTTTTCCATTTATCCAAAGGATTGAATCTTTCAAAGTAGTTAAGTACAACAACTACAGAAAATTATATATTGTAAATGGTTCTCCTGATGAGCAAACAAATAATGTCTCATGCATTGCAAAATGGAGCCAACATGGCTACTGAAGAGACAAAAATATTCTCTGTCTCCTCTATCAATACCATAAACCATTTCTGTGCCACCTAGAAACAGTCTGCTTGGATTTTATGTGTATTTTTATGGTACACTCAACATACCTAACTTGGAAGTATCATGAATATGACTTTTCAAATTTCCAAACTTCTTTAACACCAGTTTTGCATTGCTTCCATTCCATTTGCCTTTCCTTTTCAATATGTCAGGCCTCAACTGAGCACTTTTGAAAAATCACACTTTGGAATTTTAAATAACATGGAAAGGTGCGCAAAACCCAACTTCTTCAGTTTATTACAAAAAAAAGTATGCTTTAAAAGAAAATATTTACATAATGAATTTTCTTCTCAGTGAGAGTGAAGAACAAAACTCAGTAACATCAGTACAAAAAATACAACATGAGTAAAATATCAGAGGGATATCTGGGAAAATTATATATGAAAGTTAGTGCATAATAAATAAGAAGTCATAACATCCAGGCACACAGTTAATAAAATCTACCAACTCTATGTGCAAGTGTGACAGTTGAAAAAATGTTTACACTCAACAGCACAAACATAACCAGAGGCCATGATATGACCTTTGTAAAAATTTGACTCTACCAGTCTAGCTTACCAGATAAATATACATGTATATATCAAATTCAACCCATATAAAATTTCCAAAACCTAATAAAATGGAATATGATTATGAAATTCTATTCCTGCCTAGACTGAGCATTAAACAAAAAATGTAGCATTAAACAAAAAATGTAGAGGTAGCTAGCACAACAAGAGTTGTATATGCTGCAAAAAGTACATTAATATCAAGGAAATGTTTACATACTGAAAGTTGTCCAGACAAGAACTGTGGAACATCCCTTAACATGCCAGGACTCATAGGAGAAGTCACTGAAATAGAAGGTCGGTCCATTTTTTGAGATTCAAACGAACTAGAACCTGTAATTGTAAACAAAAATATTTTATACATAGTAGCAGTTATGCATGTATTTCAGCATTCTTTAAACAGAATTTGTAGAAATATAACCAAACATGCAGTAAAGTTGTGATAAATATCACTTTTTAAAATCTATTTAAAATTACCAACTGATGATACTCAATCTTTTCGTGATCAGATGCAATCAGGAGCTTTTATTTATAGAATGGAATATAGATTATTCAGATATTTCTGACTGTAATTATGTCAGTAAGTTGAAGGCCCAAAAATAAACACTTTACCGTGGTCAAATGAATTCAGTCTTCTGACTTATTATCTTGTACAATCAGACTAATTATTATATTTTTACAAAAATTTCAAGATGTGCACTATGCTTTTTGTGCATTTTGTTTGATATCTACAAGGTCTGAAAATGGTCAAAGGACATACAAAGCATAGAGAGAAAGTGAAGTATTTTTATAAATACAAAAGACAATCCACATCTCAAAAAACATAAAATTAATTTTAAGAATTGGGCAATGAGCAAAAAGTCATTGAAGGAGTTTTTCTTATTATTGTAATCAAGCTTATGCCATTTTATTTATTCATGGCTTCCATTATAATAGCATTCTAAAACAATGACAAAAAATAACTCCAAGCTGAAATCCATCTTATCAGATCCAAACCAAACAACAAGTTATTCTTCCCTACATGAAATATGGGTTTAGTCAATTTAAGTAGCACTGACTGGCTCTAATAAAGTAAGGGTATTCTGAGTTCAAAGTAGCTATCACTCAGGCTGTAAACAAAGACCATTTCTTTCCCAGTTTTAGTTTATAAGATGCAATTGAAATGCAAACAGAGAACAGGATATTAAAAATTGCTATTAATGTTCTTATATATTAGTTAGAATTCTACTTTCTTCAATCAAAACTCATCTAAGCTTATAACCAATGTTGAACCTAAACCACAATATCCTGAGTTTTGATAGCTTATTATTAAACAAAGGTAGATAGAGATAATACAGTAAGATGACATATTGAGACAAATACAGACAAAAAGACAAGACCTATACAGACTGCAGAGGACATTTTTCATTCTATTTGTGCTTACATAAAAGCGAGAGAAGATTTTCCTACCCCACAATTGAAACTTACTGGACTCCAGCTGTGCATGTGTGCTGTCAGGTATTCTGGGAATGTCCCTGAAATCAGAAAAATTAAGACAGGCTGATCCTTCATCTAAAAAGCATATTTAACTTTCAGTTACACTGTAACACTTCCCAGTCCACCATGGAATGCCTCAGGAATGGTGCATGGTCTTCTGGCTGTCTTCAGCCACTAGGATGATTATCTGTTATCCAGTATAAATAATTTCATTGTCAAATTAAATCCTACAGAAAAGATTTGGTGGATGCAGCAGACAGGCTGCACAATCACAAATAAAATAATTCATTAAATAAAAGAACAATCTCTCAGTTAATGGTAGACTAAAATTGTGAGCAGTAGATTTATGATGACATTATACATTAAATTTACTGGACCCTCACTGAAACATACTCGGCTGCCAATCATGGCTATCCCAGTACATTCTTTACTGTCCTTGAACCACAAATTTAACCAATCTTACCTTTTCTACAAGCAAAAAAAATGTATAAGTTCATTCTGTAAAATTTCATTCTTTCATATCAAAACAAGTTGCAACATCTGTATTAAATTTTGTGCAGAGCCATGTAATTTTAAAGCACTCAATCACATCCCCCCAAGCAAAGGAATATATTATTCCTCTGAGGCGCAAACATTACTGTATGCTAATAAAAACTATCAATATGCTAATAAACCATTTCAGAGCTATTTGAGCAAAACCAAGCAAGATGAAGAGCTTCAGTTCTGAGTCACAGCAAAACCAATATTTACACTCCTGTTGTGCAGTTGATTTCTCCAAGGCCACAGCCAGTCCTGAAGGGTGGCCATGGTGAGGAGAGGCTGGGGCTGCACTGAGCTGAGCCCAGCTGGCTCCTTGGGTGCCTCTGTGATAACATATTTACTAAAGGACAAAGCAGCTGTGCAGCAGCTGTGAGAGAAAACAATGATAAGAAAAGGCCATGAGAGAAATGTTGTTGCAGACACCGAGGTTAGGGAAGAAGGTGGAGGAGGACTTGCTGCAGCTCCCTTTCCCCCTGACACAGACTCCTTGACGGAGAGGGAAACAGAAAAAACAGGGAAAAATTAGTGAATTTGAACCTGGAAAGAAGAGAGGTAGGGGTAAGGGGGCTTCAGTTTTGGTTCTATTTCTCACTATACTTTTATTTTATTAATTCGTAACAAATTCTTCTTCCTCAAGTTTGTTTTGCCCACAATGGTAACTGCTGAGTGGCCATAAACTTTTTCATCTTATTTCCTCTCCGAGTCTTGCTGAAGAGGGAAATGGCGAGAAGAGCACAAGTCTTTGGTTAACCCACCACAAAGGTAAATGAAAAGGAAGGGGAAATGAAAAAAGTTCCAGTGATATCTACTGTTTCAAACAATGAAGGAGACAGTATGATATATAAAAAACTTATCTATTTCTTTTAGGAAAGCTTTTCCAGAATATCTTTAGTATATCTTTTCCAAACATTTTTCAAGACTTACTAGAAAGGCACCTTTACTAAGTACACTGAGGAATCTTTCCAAGTGAGTCGATGCACAGTACCCAATAATTGAAATAAACCAGATAGCATAAAACTGCTCTAAGTGCCGCTACAGACAAAAGAAAAAAAATCTCTGTTCTTAGTACCCAAATCTCGTGAGAAAATCACAAACACTATTGAAGAAGCAAATATGTAGCTTTGTACATACAGAGAATTTATAACAGGGTCCAATACTCGCCTAGTAATTACATGCTTGAGCTTAACTCATAAGTACAAAAAAATTTATTCTACTATATGAGCCTGAAAAGAAAACCTTGAAAAAACATATATATATATATAAAATATGCATAAATCATTCTAAAAACAGTGAATAGGAGTTTTCTATAGATAGCAGAAAAAATTAACTTGAGAGCTTTGAACATTATCATTTATGCTCCTATAGCATAGAGATCCTTGTATTTCATGGTAGTGTGAATGGCTTTTCTTACAAGAAACTCTCACAGAGGTAAACGGAGGAGAAGCAAAATTAGTTTCATATAGACTTTGCATAGTAAGTTATGTTCCACTGCACACATGTTGTATAGAGTAATTATTAAAACACAGAACATTATGTCTTCCAAATTCAAAACTGAAGAAACCATGAAAATAACATGCATTTTAAGTAACTGTTCCTGAGAATTAGAAGGCAGAAAATAGATAAGCTCTTTTATATAAGGGATAGCCAGCTCACACTGACTAGCAACTTGGCCATCAATTTTTATTAAGATGAAAAGTTTGTAAATTGCACAACAAACTGGCAAGTTTTGTTTGGTGGCATTTTTCCAGAATGGCTTTCAACTTTTTCTGCCTTGTCAGCTTAGTTTGTCATCTTCCCTTTTCATAGTTCTCAGCCCATAATAAAGAGAAAAACTAATAACTAAACTAATAACTAAAACTAATATATCATATAAACTGGTTCTCAGTTCAGTTAATTGCTGGTAACTAAAAATTTCTTTCACTATTTAAAGTGTTGCCACAAAACCATCAAGAAATTCTTATAAATAAGATTTATCTCAATGCATATGCAAAATCCTTCAACTGGGCATCAATAATTCTAATAAAATAAATGTCACTTCTGATATCTAGGAAATAAGAACTTTTAAATATTGTACATACACTGAAACTTTATTTCCCAGAGAAGAACATAATCCTATGAAGTTATGGTTCTTTGGACAAGCATAGGCTATTAATTTTTACTATCCATTTGATTATGAACTGAAATCTTCTAAACTGAAAAAAGTAATAGTCTTTCCAGTTCATCAGCTCTAACCTCACGAAAAACATTTCTGACATTATGCTCTTAATATCAAACTCCAAAGAGTTACACATACCTAACCAAAATCTAAAACCTACTAATTTGTAGAAGTATTCATCGCTGGTACTGTTTTACATCTGCTGCAACTGACACTGGGAATCAAATACACTGAAGAACTCTTTCATCCCTGATCTAGCTCAGCTCTTCAGACCATGAGGCAAGTGGTTAATCCAGAGAGAGGCATCTTGAGAGCCCACACCACTTGGTTTAAGGAATTATACATTAGCTGCTCAAGTGACAGCAACATAATGGAGGCCATGATGATAAGGAAGCTGAACAAGAGACAGCAAATACAAAAGCACAAGAAATAATACAGGAGATTTTACACAATTAAAAGAATGCAGAAAGATTTTTTTTTAAAATAGGTATTTTCAAGATGTGAGTTGTTCATTGAAACTTTTGCTATAAACTTCTATTTGAGAGACACTATGGAATATTTCTGTATGAAATTAATTTGACACCTCCTTTCCTGAGACAAGTAACATAGTGTGTCCCTTAGCATTACTATTATACCCACACCTCCCAAGCTATGCAAAGGTTTTTAGAGAAGTGACAGATGATACAGTCATTACTCTAAGGGGGATCCAATTTCATACATATGCAGGAGAAAACCTTTCATCTCACTGACAAGGTAAAGCTGGTTTTTTGTTATTGTCAAGTTTGTTTAAAATTGTCTTACCAAATTAAGTTCCTACACCTTAAGTTCCTGATGTGCCCAACACAGTAAGTTCTTGTTATAGCTGAAACTGTAAAAGTTGTCCTCACTGGAATGCCGTTCTCAGATTATATATTTCTATAGGTTTTAGTACTCCTTAATTTTTAGTCATGTTTACTTATATTAAGTTACTGTGCATTTATACAAAATAAAGGGACACATATATTTATTAAAATGTAATTACAGAATCCTCAAACAGTCCAGGTTGCAAGTGATCTTGAATGATCATCTGGTCCCAACTAAAATGGAAAAGGGAGTCCAGATGATATTACCTATCACCCTGTCCAGTTGTGTCCTGCATATCACCAAAAATTCTGGGGGAAAGACAGAAAATTCTTAATAACTGTAAATATCTTCAAAATCAGTGAAAATCATTTCCCTCTTCACAACCCTGATGTGACCACATATGGAATTTCCAGTGGAGAATCAAAAACATAATGCATATTCCTTTAGGGTGTAGGAACTTGGAATAAAAAGAACAGTTGAAGAAGGGGAAGTATTCACAGCCCAATACAACAAAACAACTACTGCTATGCAAGAAAAAATTAAGTTTAGACTCTAAGAGGTAGGTTTGAAGGTTAATAAAAATGGGCAATGTACAGCACCAAAGAAAAAGTCCCATGCAATTCTAACTATGCATTCAGATGTGTTCTGTATTACATAACAAGCGATAATTTAATAGTTCCATAGATTAAGGTGATGTCAGTGTGGATTTGAGACTTTCCAAAGCATATGGATTTTTTGATTCACATACTATCTTTCACAGAAAATTCTACATTGCAGACTCTCAAAAAACAGAGTTCATCATCTGTTCATAGACCAAACATGATCTCAAAATTTTATGTATGTGTTATAAAAATAGGAATGGAGAAATAAAAATCAACAGTCAAGAATTACAACAACGAGTATAATCACAGTTTCAGAGCCAATATAGGCTGGCTCACCAACTGAAAATCCAGAGTAGGGAACCTATTTTTAACCATAATAGTGGATAACACCTGAGACTCTGACAACACAGGATTTCACACCAGCTCTTTTTACTCACTGGCAGGATCTATCATTCTAGCTACACTTTTGGTTTACAGAATTTTGCATTATATTTTTTTGTTTAAAATGTTAATTAATTTTTTATATATTCCATCCTAAAAGTGAACAATTTTATCATATGTATTATAAAAATACATGAAATTACTTACCCTATTGGTCTTGAAACTACAAGCTCTACTTGTGGCTCAGGTTTGGATTCTAAAATGATATTATACACCTCCTCAAAGGTGGCTCCTTGTAGTATCCTTCCATTCCATTCTAATACTTCATCACCTGTAAGTAAAGTAACAACACCCTGCTTAGGAAGTTTGCTGTGGACAGCACTTAAAATAACAATTTACGCCATTCTATTGTCAGTTTTTTGGATTGTGTAACCTGTGTTATAGAACAAGTTTGGAGGTTTTCATGCAGGAAAATCCTGAGTTTTTGCAAGTTTTCTGCAGCACAGCTTCAAACATGTAAAGTTCTATGAAACAATAATATAATCAGTAGCAGCCCTACTGAGTTAGATGCTGCTCTTACTTGCTTTGGCAGCCGCAGCTTACAGAAATCCTAACATGCTCTTTAGAAAATTCATAACTAAAACATCATATCTCATCAACTTGGTTCACATAGTTGCTAGGTTAATAGTTAATATTTCTTGAGCGTGCTCCAGTGTAGCAATCTATAGTTTGCATGTTGGAACAGAAGCAGCTTCCTAGCCAAGGTGGTTCTGTTCAAACCTTTGTCATAGCTTGGTTTACTCTAAACAAAATATACACCACAAAATGACTGGGGGGGACACCAATAGAATATTATTTTGAGCATAAAAATGAGCAAAAATGTTAAAATATTTTTGAACAACATGAGAACATATATTTCACAAAAGCAACCACCTAATAACAGCGTCAGGTTGAATTCTGCAGTATTTCATCACATTTATTTAATATAATTTTGCATGTAATTAAACTTGCTCACTTTTTATCACCTTCAGAAAAGAAACTCAGCAGCATAGATCTATAGTAGATACATACCTGGTCTAAGATGCCCCACTGTATCAGCTAAGCTTCCTTTTTTAACTTTGGTGATAAATGCGCAGAGTCGACCTGATTCAGTCATCTTTCCTCCTACTACCTGTTTCAAATAGGAAGTATTTTCACATTATGAAAATTACTTTAAATTATTTAAATGTTCTGGCAATAGAAATAAGAATTTAGCTTTTTCCTTGGATTTTATGTAGCAACACATATACACTTGAAAAAAACACCACAGAACTTTAGCTATGATGGGTTATTTCTGTAGCTTTTCTGACAATTTGTACAACTGAAAAACAATGAATATAGAGAATCCCAAAGCTTTTAAATTTTATCAAATACCTGCATAATATTATGTTATAAATTACCACCCAAAACAACGTAAGTTATTGATCATTAGACTACTCACTTGACTGTTTTTTCAACTGGAAAAAGATTTATTAATGTAACGGAACACAGGATGCTCACACTAAGCAATGAAATTCCCTTTGGCTTGGCAAGTCAGATGAAAACACTTGTCACACTAAAAATTTCTCTACAGGGAACTTCAACAAGTTTGACCTTAATATGTATCTTAGAATCAGACTTACATGTCAGAATCAGTAATAACTGAATAATTTTCAAATTCTTGAAGTTTCTTAATGGTCTTCATACTGGGATTTAAAATTTGTAATATTAAATCCAGTTTAGTTTACTTTCAATATGTAAATACCTGAAAATTCAGGTCAGGGATAACTATTGGAAATCACTCTTTCCAGATGTCTACTGTGATTAAAAAGTAGTTACTCTTGAGTCTGAACTATTAATCAATCTCACTTGAAAGTTCATCTTCATAATATGAGATCTTAGAAATTTTAACATAAATGTTTAAACAAAAAGTGTTTCCTATTGCGCTGTTAATATTTTCTCTTGCATTTTCTGGCAATTAGACAAAAATACACATATAAAATTTGATGTTCAACTGGCTTCTCCGCTGACTTCAAATAAAATTATTTATTAATTAAATAAAAATTTGAAATCTTTCCAAAGCATATTAGTATATGTAATACATAACTTAACTACACTGATTTAATCCTTACTCATAGGGTGTGACAATAACATAATCTGTATGCCTGAGTTGAAGTAAGAGTCATGTTAAATAGAGAACAGAAAGTTTATTCTTAATAATCTCTCACAGCAATGATATGGAATCAAAATAAGCACGTTTGTTTCTTTCACTGTTTATAGTTTGTTCTCATTCTTGTACTAGCATTTCTGTGACTGCAAATAATAATATCACACAAAATTGAGATTGATATATGAGCTAGAAATAATTCATAATGTATTTAAAGAGCACTACATCATGAAAAAGAGGTTAACATATAAAAAGAGTACATTTTGTGATAAACCAATAATATTAAAAAAATTTATATTTTGTGTTTTTAAAATGTAGCAAATCAAACAATCAGAGGAGAAAAAAATTCAAACAGAGGAAGTTCCATTGGCATACTCTGATCTGGATTAAAATGTCATTAACTCACGATGCTCCACACATCTTCAAGGGAGATAACTTTTTTTCACTTCTCTTTCTTGGAAATAGAAGTTACACCATGGCGCAATGCTCCATACTGAAGAACATAGACAGGACTTGGCTTGCCTAGCAAGGGTGCACTCTGTACTTTGCTAAGAAGACATCCTCAGAAAACTTCTGAAAATGTCTGAAAATGTCTAGTCTTTCAGAAAAACACAATTTTTTAATTCTGCCAAGGACTCTGCCAAATTACTCTAGGTAAATGAATATAAATGTCTATATTGTAATTTTGAGAATGATAAGGCATTATAAATATTGGTATGAATACGCTATATAGTATGAGAATACTAAATTAATTATAAAAGTAGCTAGTTTAACTGAGAGAGTTGTTAGTTTCAAAATTGTTCATCACCAACCTTCAATCCAAGCATTGCTCCTGAATCTCTAGGCACACTTCCATCTTTTAGTCGCTTATTTAGCAAAATCCGACCAATGAGACGATCTCCATCTTTGGATGGTTGCCAAGTTACTGGATGCTATCATATGGTATTAATGGAAAACACAGTGAATAGCATTTTAATGGAAAACACAGTGAATAGCATTTTAATGAAAAACTTTTCACTAATACTTTTCATTTGCTGATATATTTTAAAAATGCTATGAAAGTATTATGATTACACTAAAATTGAATGTAAAAAAATGACAGAAAACTGTGCTGGAAAATATTTATTTGAACATATCATTCATCAAAATGGATGTCTAATATTTAATATTTAATAACATTATCTATTTTACTAAATCCAATTTGTAAACATCTAGAATGATCTTTCAATCTCGATTTGACAGATATAGATCACTACACATAGCTATCCACACACAATGAGATTCACATCTGAGTACTGACAAAAGCATTGCTAAAAGTCTAATATAAGAATAATACTGGAAAAGAAGTTTGCCTCAAACTGAAAGTTTGATATGAGAAATGTCTTATTTATCCACTACTTCAAGCATTTCAATTTTTATCCAAGATTAACAAATATTTTTAGTGTTTTATTTACTCTCAGAGGTAGAGTTTCAAATTTAAAAATACTGTTAAAACATTACTTCATTACTTCATTTTAATATTCTGTTTCTTTCTTACAATAATTAATTCACACATGAAGCATAGTTACTGTGAGCATTATTATTCCATTGTTATACACGGGCACTGTTATACTTGTCTATTGGCCTAATTAATGAATTGTTAAGATTTTCTTTTGTGTAATCATCATACTTTCTCAGAGAAAAATATTATTTCATGCTCTATTTCATGCAAAATTAGCAGGCACAGAAAAATCTGCTCCCATTACAACTAATAACTCTAAAAAGATTTATCATAATCTCTACCAAACAGAAAGCAAAAATAAAAAATATCAAAGCAGATGGCAAAGCCTTTAATTCTACACAGTACCGCACAAAAATTACATGGCAACAAAACAAATGAACAACCATGACAGTGAAAGGGAAAAAAGAAAAACAACTTTTCTGTGCAGAGAGACCCAATTTTCTCCCTTTTTCACCTGGGGTTTAAACTATTAATTTAATTTCAGCCCCAGGAGTTTGGAAACAGTAAATCAAATAGTAAGCCAATTGGTAGAATCCTTATTGTTAATTACTTTGTTCTTTAAGGTAATATCAAGGTATGCTAATTTGCAACCATAAGAACAACATTCCTTTATGCCTCTCAATGTTTTTTTCTTAGGCTGCCAAACAGTAAAAGCCGCAAGCATGCAAAGACTTTTCATTTGTTTTTCTTTTCTGCACCTTAAGAAATAAATGCTATATTATCTCTAAAAACACCCTATCTTTCATTTTATGCACTATTTTAATGAGTGACAGAGAGCAAACAAAGACCAAATGAGCAGGTTAAAATGCAGGCTCCATAATCTCAGTACCTTCTCACTATGGCTATGTTCCTCGTTTAGAGTTGTGCTACTACACGTATCTACCCCAGAGTCTTTTATCTGAGGCTCAGACCATTCCAAGTCCTCTTCCAAAGAGTGGCCACCAAAGCACACCATTTTCTTTTGCCTCTCGGATAAGGTGTTAGAATCCGACAAAACTGCCTGCTCACTAGTTTTTCTTTTTCCCCTTTGACTGTCCCCTATAGGTGTGGGATAAAAAAAGGATACAAAAAAAGAAAACATGCAAAGGTGTAAATAAAACCAAGGAAATGTAAAATGATAAAAGAAACTAAATGGTAAGGCTCCACATGTCTCACCAAAGACATTGGGGATGCCTCACTGCTATGCCAAGACGTATGGTCCAACCAGTTGTAATCCATGTCTCCTGCGAGAATCAGACAGACAAGATAGTGCAGTAAAGGAAGGGTGAAAGAAAGGACAAACAAAGATACAGTAAAATTGTAAAGACTTCTGATTATCTGATTCATCACCTCTGCAGCAGGACTTGCAAAGGGCTTCCAAGAAAAAGTTAAGGCTCCAACAACAGAGTACATGGAATATAAAAAACAGTGAGGAAGGAGATACATTTGTGTGTGTCTATGTGTGCATAAAATTATGTACAGAGCAAAGCATCATTGTGCCAGATTTAATAAGGTCCCTATAAAATTATTTACAGTAAATTAAATGAAAAGGCAAATTGTATTTCTAATAGAATATCCAGAAGGGAAAGCATTTGAATACAGAATGTCTTAATGAATTTATTTCTTTGCTTTTCTAACACAAATCAATATTTATTCTAATCACATCTATAAAATACTTAAAAGAATGGCACACTGTATTCACTTTGCAGTAGATGATGTTAAGGAAAGTTAAATGAAAAAAATCTAGAGACTATATTGAGAATAAAAAGCATATCAACTTTGCTTTTTCTACTGATTAAATAGAAGGATGAATTCTAGTAAGTGTAGGTACCTCACAAATGGGATTGTTTAGGTTTTTGACAAAAACATAAATATTTCAGAGTCAGAATTTAACCTCCATGGCCGACACACAATAGAAAGAAAGAATTGAAAAACAGTTTAAGAAGAGATCTAAATTAATGCTGCTGTCCAAAGAATTAGGGAATGACTCATGTATTTCAATAAAACATTCTCTTTTATGCAGGTACTTTAAACTGTAAATTATGTCCACACATGCTGCACTATTATGTCTCTCTCATTTTTCCCCTCACCATTGTTTCTACATGTTACATGAAATATATTGTGCTACTGAATGCTGCATAATATTTTTATATTACTATTTGCAGGAAATAAATGTTTCATTTTCTATCAAATTTGACCAAACTAAAGCAAAGTAGTTCAGGGTTCCTTAATACAGACCTCAAAAAACATTCTTCTATTTCTGTTACTTCAGATCCTGCTTCAACATTACTCAGCCTATTCCTCTGGAACTACATCAGTAGGATGGTGAAATGTAACTAACAAGTCTTAGCACTGTCTTAACACTTGTATAGAGAACTTTACAGAAAGGATGTGAAGATACAGCCCAATAAAACTACAAAGAACTAATAGACACTTTAGTAATATTTCCTTCTTTACTTACTTTATTTATTTTAGTAAAGTAAAGCATTCTTCTTGGAGAGGTATCACAGAATTAACTAGGTGGAAAAGTCCTTTGAAATCAAGTCCAACCTAGTATATTTTATATGTACAATGAGAAATACCTTTTTTTCACTTGTTTCCTCCTAGAATAGAGACTTGCATATGCTCTATGGAAAAAAAAAATCAAGTCTCATTTTCATTTTAAAGAAGGAAATATTAAAAATAAAAAAGCTTTGTTTTCAAAAAGATACTTTGAACTTAGTCCCTTACATGTACATTGCAGAAATCTTGTAGCATATTAAATAGCCTTTTCTTTCATAAAACAATCATAAAGTAACTTCAGAAAATTAGAGCCTCAATTAATTCTTATTTTCTAAATAATAAATAGGCTGTAAATCAATTAATGAATGTTAACATCTAGCCTGTACTACAGATAAAAGTGTGGCTATCCTGCCAAAGGGGGAAGAAATATTCTTCTGAAAGCTAGTAATATTTTGCTAACACCACTTCTGCAATGGAACTTCCAGTGGTACTTTTGCCTCCAGACATTGCTTCAAGGGGTACTGAGTGAACATCAGTGAACTCATGATGATCTATCCCTTACTCATAAATATACATTTAGAGATATCCAGAAGACAGCAAGAGTTCCAGCCCACATTCTGCCTGGTTTAAAAATTCCCTGGGGCCTTTACGCATTATCCCCCGGCTCATTTGCTGGTATAGCCAGCTTCTGCTACTCCAAGTCCTCTTACCCATTTATTACTGTATGGTGCATCCACAAACTGTATGTGTCCAACATTAGATTCAGCATTTTGCAAAAACAGTTACTCTTCATCAGATGATAAGCCCTGGAACTAAAGCTGCACAGAGGAACACCTACAAAATTGAGCCTGTTACCTAACAAAAGTACTCCCTCTTCTTGCTCAACCATTTTCCCTTCTTTTCAAACAAGATGTAGAAGGCTTTTTTTATTGTAGTTGTGTCTCACGGTAAATATTAAATAATTGGCATTTATAAAATGAAAATTAAACTAGAATAAGCAACAACTCCATCAAAACACTGGTTTGGTTTCACCTGTGTAAAATATGTAGTCATATGTTTCCAAAAATTATCATATAAATTAGAAGTTGTAAAGCTATTGTAGATCTTATAGATTTTTCCCTTAATACTGTGTTAATTGATCTAAGTGACAGGCATAAATACTATGCAAGTTAATAAAAGGATGATTGTCTGGAAGGCCTGTAGTATATTACATTTCTATAACAGACATGAATATCTTAGTATATGTACAACTCTTTGAAATAAAATTAATAGCTTGATAAAGTCACTGGGCATCAGTTTTTCAGTGGAAGTTCTAGAAATATTAAAAACTTGACTGGGTAAATGATTATTGAAATCTTGTAAAATTAAAAACAACATATGTAAAGCACAGAGGTCTTTGCCTACAAGAAAAAAATATAAGTAAATAAACAAACAAACAAAAAGAAATAAAATAAAAGTTAAACCATTCTTTTGTAACATAGACACCATAGTTGTAACTCTGACTACCAGAAAATGCACTTGTTGCTCTCTTAGAAATTAGTCATCCAATACAGAAAATACTTTATTATTGAGAATATATACATTTAGGGTATGAAGCAGAAATTGAACAGGAAAAAAATATCACTTCGTTGATAAATTACAAAGGATATAATATCAAAATCATGATTCATGGAAAAGGAATCTAATATATTACTAAGGAAGATACAGTCCTAGTTTATGTCATTATAACAATATTCAGATGCCTTTTAAGTTCAGGAGTGCAGCTGGATATAGGAAAGGACATATGTGAGGTCTGCTCTTATTAATGTCAGTGAGTCCTATGTGTATATGGAAAGCTTCCAAGGACTAATCAGGCTGGGAGAAGAACCATATCAGTAACCTTGCCCTTCTCTAGAAACGGGGTTAAGCTGAAGCCTTTGTAACCTTACTGTAACCTTACTTTGTAACCTTACTGGTGTTCAGTGTGCTTTTCTTATTTTCTCTGGACAAAACCAAAAAGGCAGAGGAAAACATTTTTTTTTCTTCTGCATTCAGGAACCCCCAGCAATGGGACCTTCCTGTAGAAATGGGAACTTTGAATGTTAGAGTATGTTTTAAAATACTTTTGGTCAGTTTCTGTCTCCCTTGTATTTTAATGTTTGGTTATGTAGTTTTTTGTTTCCTATAATGGCTTTCTCACACGGAAATACAACAATTGAGTATTTTTTAGAAAGCATTATGGAATTTGAATCTAACACACAAGGTGTATGTCTAGTCCTTTTTGAATGCTGTTTAAGTTCATGGTCAAGTCCAAAATCATTTATCTTCCAAATCGGCACACACCATAAAGCACGCTGTGTAATTCACTTTTCTACTCATACAGAGTTATTTGGATGCTCTAAAGTGCCCAAAATCTTCACATAGGATATAAGCCTGACCCAGGCCCTTTCTACCAAAAGCAAAACCTCTCTAAACTGTCAACTGTTTCCCTCAGTAAACTAAAAACATAATCTTGCTTTGAACCAAATAAACCAAAAACTTGTTCTCAAATTCAAATCGCATTGCCAAAAAGGACAGGTTATATAACTTTAAATTCTTTAGGCTTAGGAGACTACCTGACCACATGCTATATACTGAACACATATTTCTGACTTGAGCCAGTAATGGAATATATATGTCATTACTCAAAATTGCAAATGATTTAACCTTGCAATTAAATATTTTCCCCCTCCAAGCTAATTTTCAGCATAACGTACACATTATGAACACATCCCATGTGTCTATATCCTTCTCTTAACTGCACAGCTCCCAGTGCAGCCCTGTACCAGAAAGTCTCAGGAGTGAAGTAAAAAGTGAATTACAGCTATTAAGAACTTATATTTAAGCAGGTTACTTTCTGTGTTTGCTGTCTATCCAGACTGCCACACAGTGGGTGACTCCAAAGAGGAGCTACACAGCTGAAATTGCCTGGAGGTGATTATATGACTGCTTAAACAATTACTTTGTCAGCTCTGGACATTTCAGGGACATTCTAGCTTTTGATGCAGGAGCAAATGTAAAGCTGCCTGTCACACAGCTGACTGTAAAGCACAGATTTTCTAACACAGTCACTGATGAAGTTTGAGCACTGATTACAAAAAGAAGCACCTTCCTGCAGGGCTTGCAGCAGGCTATGAAAATTCCTACTATGCATTTCAACATTTCTTCTTGGGAAACTATTATTTCTCTGGATTTGTCAACTTTCAACATGGAACACATTAGAAAAATGTCTGAAATATCTGGTCCTACCAAAGCAAAAAATGAAAAGCTGTTCTTTATGTAAAGAATATGAAATGTATTTTGACTTTCAATAAGTGAAATACAGATAAATGCAGCAATTAGGAGAAAAATGTATAAATCTCCATTAGTGAATAGCAGAGTACTGCATTCCACAAGGCAGGTGAGAGAAAAGACTGGGGGAGGTGGGAGCAGGTAACAGTGCATACCCATGTGGCAAGAATGATGACAATGACAGCATACAAGTACTATAGAGATGCACTATCAAAGAAATGTCTCTGGACATCATGGGCTAGTCACTG